GGTCAGGCTCTGCCCCCAGGGAACAGGGACAGGACAAGGAGCCAGCCCCAGGCTGTGCCAGGGGAGGTGTCCATGGAATGATGGGGAAACTTCTCCATGGAAAGGGCTGTCCAGCACAGGCTGCCCCACCAGCAGTGGAGTCATCACACCTGCAGGAATTTAAAAGCCATGAGGATGTGGCTTCTGGGGACAGGGGTTAGTGGTGGCCTTAGCAGTGGTGGGGAAAAGTTGGACTCAATGATCTTAGAGGTGTTTTCCAACCTAAATAATCCTGTGATAGAAGCCCTTTCATAGGAAAGTGTACTGCTCTTCCTTCACAGAGGAAGTGCAGAGAAAAATAACAGGTTTTAAAACATCATTTAGAGTAAAGTAAAAAGAAATATTATAAGCAAATATGTCAGCCAATACTAAACAGCAAGACTGAAGATAGTCAAAGGAATAAAAAAAATGTAAGAAATGTTTATTGATTATAGTCTTAGGGTTTCCTATTCATATGCAAATAGTAACAGTCTTGTCTGATTAGCATATTAATCTTTGAACTTATTTGGTTTATAATGTAAAGTGTTCACTGCTCTGCAAACAAGGCGGATTTGCAAGAAGCCATTTAAATACTGATATCACTTTAGGAATCATAAAATCTCAGTTTCATTATCTTAAGTGTCAGGCATTGATAATTATAGCAACAAAAGGCATGACTAATGGCATTTGCTGTACACTTCACAGGGAAGTGGAATCCACATGTATATGAAAACAAGATACTCTACAGTTGAGAAATATGACAAAATAATATTACTGCAATAATCAACTTGCTTTACACACTAAAGAAACTGCATCTAACTATCACCATCTAGAGGTAAAATGCCTTTTTTTTTTAATTCTGATCTGGATTCTGTCTGTATGCCCATGAATATATTAGACAAGAAATTATTTTCTAATGGTGAGCAATGTCTGCCACACAAAAGAGATGGGCATCAAACTGCAGAGATCACATATAGCAGTCATTAGAAAGCAGCCTAGAGAAACTAAATTGTTTCTATCTAACTAGAGGTTCTTTGCAAGAGAAGACTTTTGCCACCATGACCCTGGCTTTAAAAAGTCACCTAACATTTAAATTGTCTATTTAACAGACTGGGCTTCCATAAGTGTGACTTGGAACAAAACAAATTAATTTCTCTATATATGGCTGTGTCCTGTAATGTTTATAACTAATCAGTCTGCCACTCAGTAATGGCCATCAGAAACTTTGTAAGAGAATAAACCTCTGAACCTTCTTTTGGATAACTGCCTAATGTTCTTGCTGAAGACATGGTTGTGAGTGTCTAGTCTGAGCTCCTGGCACAGCCTGGATAATTTCATCCACTGAAGTCCAAACAATCCTTCTGATTTGTTGATTGGTTATAAAGACATCAATTGGTCATCTAATTATTTTTCTACTCAGGTGCAAAATTAATTGTACTAGTAATCTGTCAGTGCTAATGAATGGCAAGACAGGAGTCGAGAACTAAACCTGAAGCAAAACAAACCTGAGCAAGTACAAATAGAGAGGATGTGCTCTGAAAACATTTAGAATAAGCTTGCCATGCACAGAAGATAAGCATTAGTTAGAAGGAAAGATATTTTGTCATCATACTTAATATTTCCATTTTAGGATTAAATTAGTCATTATTAGCATAAGATTCCAAAGGCAATTCATGTTTAGTTAAAATCACCTCCAAGTTTCTTGCACCCTGCTCTTACAGCAAGGCACACTGATCCCAACAGTTCAGAAAATTCCTTAGAGAATGATGAAATGTATTTTATCCAGAACACTTTAAATATAAACACAAGGTATAGTGGTATTTATTATTCCAAAGTATCACTATCTAGGGATTTCCTTAGAAAGAAGTAACATCTTCGTGTTTGGATTGATTTTTCTTCAATTTAATTAGCTGAATTATTTTCTAGTATTATCCCATAAACTTTCAGTATTACCCCATATTATACACTGTGGAGAAGACCACTGTCATGCACTTGTTTGGAAATTGCAAGGCAATAGTTTCAATGGATGCTCCAATTTGCATCTTGAAACAGTTAAAATGTCTCCATTTCCTTCATTATTTGAAGGACAGCTATTGCATTCCCCTCTCAGTTGCCTTTCTTGCAGGCTGAGAATTTCTAATATGCTCTGCCAGTGAAAAATCTTTTTTTTTCCACCCATATTATTTGGAGTTGATATATTTCTTTGGAGAGGAGTAGAACTGCACACAGATAAACCAGAGATTATACACAGCATAATAGCATTTCCTATTTGTCTATCCCTTTCCTAATCATTTGTAACAACTTGGTTTTCAGACCTCTTTAAATCCTATTTAAAATTATGTCAGATTAGCTACTTTAAACTATGTGGTATGCAACCCAGAAGCTATTTATCAGTCACTTTTCAGTTATTTCACCTTTGAATTCCTGGTGCACTGCATGTGGAGATTTATGCCTAATTTATTCAAGAAGATCTGCTACTGGCATTTCATTTAAAACAGACAATCTGCTATTCTCCACAAGGAAAAATCCAGAATGAGAATAACCCATAACAACTCCATGGTGAACAGAGATTATAAAATATGCATTTTTCTGTTACTATTTTATGTTCTGAAAAAACAAGTGAAAAAATATTTTTAATTGAACTCAATAACTGCACTGAAGTGCACATCCAATTTTAAATAGCTTTTCCCCTAAAATTTATACACCCTCTAATTGTTCTAACATCCACAGTTGAATGATACAGATCCCCAGCTCTGTTAATTTTTAAGACAGTAACAGATAGTGCTAAACTGGGGCACTGAATTATCTGCTGCTCACAACTGTCCCCTTGAACTCAGCCATTCAAATTGAGCATAAAATTTGGCCACGTTTCCAGAGCTTGTTTTGAAATCCTCAAGATTCATAACCAGTTAATTCTGCCAGTTAAACACTACTGCAAGAGTGCAGTGTAACTCTACAAATACAGAGGTCTGATTGAAATTTCCACATCTAATAGGATTAATTATAAAATGCTGCTTGCTTTCAGAGTCCACAGTTTTATTTCTGAGCTTGTCCAGAATCCTTAATCCTCAGCAGAAATTAAAGAAACTATTTGATGGTTGAAACTATGTGACAAGTATGCTGGTGCTGGAAACTTTTCCTGCTATATTTACTGAAGAGCAACATCTGAGATTTTTTAAGGATGAAAAATGCACTGATTTTGAACATCCAAAACAGATGTTAACATGACACAAAAAGAAATGCTTTGAAATGCCCTTCAGAACAGCACTACAAATCCACATTAAATTTAAAAACATAAAATTAAATTTTAAAAGCAAGCACAATAAGAAAACTCCTGCAGGAATCTATTTTTATCCTGTCTGGGTCAAACCTTCTTGATATACAAATTAACAGGTCATTAATTTCTTTTCCTGATTTAAGAAGCACAAGTGCAAAACTGGCATTGATTTTGAAGAGGCACAGCAACCCATATTTACTTCTCCTAGTTCTTATATTCTTCAGAAGCTTTTTGAAGTCCATGAAAACAGATACCAGACACTGTGGAACTGATAATTTGATAATTTTCCAAACTACTTGAGATGCTCTGGAATTGTATCCACCCTCTTCTTGTATTCACCCACTTGTACAGTCATGTCCAGTCAAACTTCATGACAAATACTGAACTCTTTAGTAACCTAATTTGATACAGAGTTACAAGTAAAATTCAAAAATCATTAAATTCTTCACAGAATGGGTAAGGTTGGAAGGGACCACAGTGGACCATCTGGTCTACCCCACCTGCTCAAGCAGGATGAAAAACAACACAGAGCAACTTAGGAAGGAAGCAGTAGAAACCAGAGCTCTTCTGGTGGACATGGGGCTGCAACATCATTAAAGTAACAGGTGGGGTGAGATCTCGATGCTTTTAAGAATTTCTGTGTTGGCAGACTTGTGCCTGGGTTTGAGAATCTGTAGCCAGTGACAGCAGAGTGGAGAAATATGTGAAAGCCAGAAAGACAAAAATATTACACCTGTCAACAAGTTGGGTTTTCACACACCTGTGCATCTCTATTTGATTGATTATTCAGTGCTTTTGAACAAATTACTAACTGTTCCCATCCTGGTGGCTTTTCTTTCCATTACCTCAAGTCTTATTTTTCATTGTCTTTTACTGGCCAAAGGGTGGGTGTTTTCCTGTATTTTTCAACTACCTGCCAACACTTCATAAATGATTCAAAATTCTACAAAAAAAAAACATCATTCAGAGTGAGTGAGAGGAATGTTAACAAGCTTCAGCAATCTTGTTCAGAACTAAGTACATGTGGCTGAAACTAAAGTGGAGAAATTTTGCAGCTGCTAACAATCCACAAATAAAGAAATGTAAATAGCCTAGGACAGCACATTAGAGAGTGTCTGAATTAGAGAGTGTCCTGCCATTCTATCCATGGAGGGGTCACTGCTCTGAAACCAAGAATCCAACAATCAAGGAACAGTATAAAATTTCAATGCTTCAGCTACAAGTCAGGCTGGAGCACAAACCCCTAAATTCTGACCTGCCTGAGGCAGAACACAATGTGAACATGTTCAATAACACACAGTGTAGAATTGTTTCATTATTCAAGATGTTTTCAAGTGAGCTGCTACAGTAAACCACATCTGTCTGTCAAGCAATGTTTCTGGTCATTGTTATGTCCAAAACTGAAGTAAAACACATACATGCATACTGAAGAAGCCTTTACTGATTAATATTGAATTGTTACACTCCCTGACCAACAGAGTCAACTTATTAGCATGCTTTTAAAGTATTAAACTACTACAAGTCAAGCCTCAAAATATGCTATTTGAATAATCAACACAATCCTATGGATGAATATATATGAAGTTACTGCTGCTGCTCATTAGCTGATCTCTAATGAAATTATACACAGAGCTTTAAATTATTAAACTGTGCTACTTTAGTCAGAAACTTCTACCCAAAATCCCTGCTCAGCTGGCTCACTCACCTGGTAAACATGGAATGCATTGGCAGCTTTGCCACGCAGGAAGACTGAGGGAATCCAAACATTAATGAGAGCACGATTTGATCTGAGGAGGAGAGAGAAAAACTTCAAACAGGGAATCATATTTATGTATAAGAATTGCAAAGCAACTACATGCAATGATTTAAATAATGATCAAAGTAATCAATAAAGCAACTTAAAATTTCAAATGAAGAAACAGAAAAATTGGAGTTCTGCCTGAACTTTTTTTTATGTTCTGAATCTAAAAACATTCCCTAAAATTAACCCAACTGAAACAATTCTTTCTGCAGGTTTTCTGGGGTTTGGGGTTTTTTTCACAGCATGCATTTGACAACATTTGATTATACACATGAAGCAAAAATTATTCACTTCAACAAATTCAACATTTTCAGCCACAAATCTCAGGTAAAGTTCATTAAATAACAGAAGAGCAGTGCACAATTCTGCAGAAGCCATTTCCATCCACTCGTTGTCATCCATCTCTAAATTTCTATTATTCAAACACATCAGCTACATTTTCAACCCCTCATCCACAAAAGCAAGATTCATTAGTTTGACTACTAAAGGCAAAATTCCAAATCACAACACTCTCAAATGATCTGGGGTGGCTCCTAGTGGGGGTTTTGGGGTTTTCTGAAGCATCAATTAGGAGCTATTCTGTAAATGAGGAAGTCCATCATATGATGAACAGCAACCAACACCCTTCAAACCCAAAGGACTAAAACCAGAAACTTCTTGGTGCTTTGGCAGAATACCAAGACCTAGGGCATTTAAAGAGCACTCCAAGGGAATCTTACTAAATCTAAACTCCTTGAGTTCAGCATTATTAACTACACTGGGGCATGCACTGTGCAGCTCTCCATGCTTTTTAACAATGGAACACCATAGCTAAGAATGCAGTTATTGGAAATAATAAAGGAAAAGCAAATTACTGAATCTCTGCTTATTCTCCTTTCCCAGAGATGGTGTGAAGAGAAAAATTTGTGAATTATGAAACTTACATTTCAAAATCTGATAAACTCTGATCTTCAGATGTTTGACTTAAATCTCCAGGGACCTTTATTTACAAAACAGAAATAATTTCCAAACAGTGGCTATTATGTTTTCAATTAAGAAAGCATAATATTATAAGGAAATTACAATTCAACATTCAATTCTATAAATGCCAATAAAAACTATTCCTGACAAGCAATAAAAGAAAAACAAAATCCTGCAAGAAGATTGTGAACATGTCACCCTTGTGAGTCCTTTAGGTTACAATTTGCTACAGTTTTGTAAAGAAACAAATTGGGGTTTGTAAAAGCATGTAATTTTGAAAGATAGAGAAAATGCAGGCAAGAGTACCATTATTAGGGCTTTATGTGCAAAGGATGCTAAAACAAAGTACTTTGTGGCCATAAGCCATTTATGGGAAAATATGAAGCACATAAAACCTACTGATCACTTCCTTTTACAAGCAATATTCTACCAAGGGAAGGACACAAGAGCATTTGATTTCAGCTGTGCTCCTACAAAACATGACATAAGTACAAAAGTTCATAATGATGCAATGATGGACTAATAGCTGCAGAATCAAAGGAAGAAGAAGTTGTTAGAGAACCAGATTGCAAGAGCATTTAGAGCAAAACAGAAATAGCTTTTTACCTAACTTTACAACTAGAATAAACATGAAAGGGTATCTTCTTTCCTTTAAAAGGAAAATGGAAAATGTAAAAAGCATAATCTAGAATAGTTATGAGGAAAGGAATTGTTCAAAGCCAATTCTTTACAGATCTGTTATTTCTAACAAGCTAATGGATATTTCATCATGAGGAGCATGTTTGAGCTATTCCAGAGGGATATTCTGCAGTGCAATAAACAAATACTCACTGGCCCTCTCAGATCAATGAGTTCTTGTCTCATCTGGAACACCAGAGCTTCCTTGGCCATCAGAGCACGGTGCAGCCTCTCATTGAATTCAATCAGCTCCCCATGCATTTCAGCCACCTGAAAAGCAAAGCCAGGGGATAACTGATCTAAACTGGGCAAAAAAAAATCCCACCATGTAATTTCTTACATGTATATCAATTTCTTTTTACACTCCAAGTACTGCTAATGTGGTAGTCTGAAGTGATCATTAAGAACAGACATTGCTATAATTTTGATTCATACCTTGAAATGCAGTTTTGATATTGAATTGAATAGGACAAAATACAATTTCATGTCAAATTTTGTTCTTATCACTCCAAATCATATGACAACTGATTCTAATAAAACACCCATTGACTTCTGTTCTCAGTTTAATTCTTTGATGAATGCAGCACTCAACAGGTACTAACTAATCACAATATTTTGAACAGGCAGTACTGCAAAATGCCCAAACTGCATTAAACTTTGTCAATAATTCATAAGTGATGTATTCTTCACCCTTAGTTGGAGTTTTAATAAGAATGGACCTAGAAGTCAATCACTCCAGGCAAATCTGGGAGAGGTCAGAGGAGTCTAAATACCAGAGTCAGGCTGTGGCACAGGTTGTTCTCACAGGGAAACAGAGTGGCCTCTTTGGACACTGAGCATGGCTGGGGCTGTGCTCTGCATTTGAAGTCAAGAGAGCAGCAAGTGATGCAGGATGCAGTGAGAGTGCCAGGGGCTGGGGCAGTGAGGGGGATGGAAGTCCCAGCAGTCAGATGTGGGCACTGCTGGGCCCCTCCCCTGGGCTGCCCCAGCAGCATGGTTAAACCTGCTCCTGCTCCATGGTTAAACCTGCTCCTGCTCCATGGTTAAACCTGCTCCTGGCCCATGGTTAAACCTGCTCCTGGCCCATGGTTAAACCTGCTCCGTGGTTAAACCTGCTCCTGGCCCGTGGTTAAACCTGCTCCTGGCCCGTGGTTAAACCTGCTCCATGGTTAAACCTGCTCCTGTCCCATGGTTAAACCCGCTCCATGGCTAAACCTGCTCCTGCCCCATGGCTAAACCTGCTCCTGCCCCATGGCTAAACCTGCTCCTGGCCCATGGCTAAACCTGCTCCTGGCCCATGGCTAAACCTGCTCCTGGCCCATGGCTAAACCTGCTCCTGGCCCATGGCTAAACCTGTCCCGTGCTTAAACCTGCTCCTGGCCCGTGCTTAAACCTGCTCCTGGCCCGTGCTTAAACCTGCTCCTGGCCCAGCACCTCTTGGAATGCCTCCTCCTCCTCATCCCCCACCCAGAGCTGGAGAACAGCAAGGTGACAGCATGAGAACACAGCTGAACAACATGAATTTCAATCCAGGCACCTCAACAATAGCACACAGACTTGAACTACTGCCAAATCTCTCAAGAGTTCATAGTTTCCCTCCTGGAAGCAGTTCATTACTATCTGTGAATTTCACTATTTCCTTTTCTTGAATTACTCTGCATTCTCCCTCTTCCCCAGAGAAGTTCCCCAAAATAAAGTAGTTTAATTTAGTGCCTGTTTTTAATTTCATGCTTTGTTCCACACAAACCTGCACCCTTCACAAAATCAAAGCAAACAAAAAAAGCCTCAATTTGACAAGCCAGAATCTGACATCACTGATTATAAATAAAAAATAAAAAATAATTTTCACGAGGTGAACTTCAAGCATTCTTTTCCAATTTCTTTTTATATTAGAGGGATTCCTTCAAACCCAGTAATTCATCACTGAAATATACATGCAAAAAAGAGCTAAACTACATCAACAATATACTAGAGAAAACAATAATATAATACTATTAATTCTAGATAAATCATTTTCCATACCAGCTTAACTAATTCCAATTTAAAGTGGGTGGTGTAACATTTAAGATTACCAGGTTAATATTAACAGGTCACTGTTAATTCCACAGGGCCTGGGCTGTAAGGCAGAACTTCCTTGCATTTCAAGTACAGAGATACAGCAATAACTAGTTGCAAATTCACAGGGAAAAGCTGCAATACTGCTGGTTACCAAAAGCAACATAAAAATTTACAAATGGATCTCAGTAGTTTGCATATTTGAAAACATGTTTGGTTTTTCAGGGCCTGTCTATTAGAAGAACAAAATGCAGAACCGATATGTGACTATTTTGTCTCTCTCTGATTTGGATGCCCTTGAAATAACTTTCTACTTGCAGACTCAATTAACATGTAAATTCAACAACTCTCTCAAAACACTACAAGTAATGCAAAAATTTGTAAGTATACCTAGCAAAGTTAAATAATAAAAAGGAAATTTAACAGCAAATAAAACACCAAATCACTTGTTCTATATTATCAAAAGGACAACTGGCAGGTGTCACTTTCTAGCAATTAACTGACTTCAATACGTTCCCTTGTCAAAGAAAAATGCATTACCATCACAGCAAATCAAAAGGAGCAATGAATAACAACATTAATTTAAGTTCCTTTAATTTTTCCTGCATCAAAGTCTGCTAAAACAACAAAGAGTTCTCCTTATAATTATATCCTTTCAGTTACATTTTCATAGTGTCACATCTTCCTTTACTCAATCCACATTGAAGCTTAAGCAATACATTTCCCTGCTGGGACTTCAATAATCTTCACAGTTGTTTTTCTTCATAACAATATGCTTGAAGCAGAAAAATAAAGTATAAATAAGCTAAGTTTCCCTTGGACAGAGGAGCATTTAGATTTGCTCCTTCCTATATGAGAAAACAGTTTAAAGAACCCAAACCCTTCTCAGGAAGGTGAAGTGAGGCTAAAGTAAACACTTGAAGCTCCACACTAAGAGAACTCTTTAGAGCTGTCAAAAGAAACCTGAGACTGAGAGCACTGCAGTTACACTGCCCAGCATGGCCACAGCTGAGAGCAGTCTCCAGAGAAAGGAGCAAGGAGGTCTCACTTCATATTGCACAGAGAAAGGACCAAGGAGGTCTCACTCCATGTTGTACAGAAAGGACCAAGGAGGTCTCACTCCATGTTGCACAGAGAAAGGACCAAGGAGGTCTCACTCCATGTTGCACAGAAAGGACCAAGGAGGTCTCACTCCATGTTGCACAGAGAAAGGACCAAGGAGGTCTCACTCCATGTTGCACAGAGAAAGGACCAAGGAGGTCTCACTCCATGTTGCACAGAGAAAGGACCAAGAAGGTCTCACTCCATGTTGCACAGAGAAAGGACCAAGGAGGTCTCACTCCATGCTGCATAGAGAAAGGACCAAGGAGGTCTCACTCCATGCTGCACAGAAAGGACCAAGGAAGTCTCACTCCATGCTGCACAGAGAAAGGACCAAGCAGTAAACTAAAAACAGGCCAGGAATGTTTCACTAAGCATCTAACAACACAATCTGTCTTGGAAGGATATGCTTCTAGATAGAGAAAAACACATCTAACATCAATGCAACAATAAAGGTAAAATAAAATAAATTTTAAATTGCAACAATAAAAAACTAGTGATTTTCTTACAGAGTGTTTTAGTGGAACCCAAGTTTTTTTTTAATATTATTTGCAGCAAATACTTCATAGAGGTTTTTGCACAAGCTGCATCTGAATTAATGACTTTTTGTCAGGCACAGGCATTTTTCCCCAATGATCACAAAATACAAAACAAAGTGTTTCCCAAAAAACTCTTGAGAAAACTGGAAGTTGCCTCTTTTTACTCTTAGTGGAAGCATGGGTGTATTCTTCCCGTGAAATTTCCTTTCCAAAAATCAATGTTGTTATACAACTTTTTCTCAAAAAAAACAGGCCAAAGGGCTGCAAAACAGAGCAGGCATCCTATTAGCAACTCAATTTTTCTACAAGTGAAAAACAGTAAAATGCAAAAGGGCAGAGATGGTTCCAAAAAATCCACTGATACAGGCATTAAAATGCTCAAACTTTGCTTTCTGCTTCAAAACTTCCATTTTCTCATCTCAGAAAGAAGAGAATTTCCTTCTGCAAACAAGTTATTTGGTTCAAGACAGACTGAAAGACTTAGGAATAGGGTTGGCATTGAGCTGCTTTGGTTTGGGCTTGTGTCCTAGGGTGACTTTATGATGCTTGTATCCCCAGTTGTCCTTTCTGTTTATGCTGGATATTGAGTTCTGCACCTTTAGGACTGGTTCAGAGAGCAAAGGGGGAAGAAGAAAAGGTTCCATTGTTTAATATTATTCCTTTTTTTATACTTGTGAATACTTTTCTTGTTAAACAAACATTTTTTCCACTTTTCTCAAGGAGGTTTACCTCCCAAACTGGTTGGAGGAGGGGCTGCTTGAATTTGCTTTCTCAAAAAGGCCACTTCAGAAGTCTCCTCCGACAATTTGCCCTAAACCAGGACAGCCTGGTTTGGTTTTGTTGTGTAGATTTTTGCTTGGTTGGTTTTTCACTCTCGCTATACAACAAGGTAAGCATAGATTGGGTTTCCTCAAAACCAATTAGCAGAAAATAAGCTGAAGCTTTCATCTCAAAATAAACTGGGAACTGTGCACATTTAATGAAATTCTTATTCATGTTTGCATTAATTCCCACTCTTTGTCCTTTGTGCCCAGTCCCACCAGCATTTACTGAGATTGACACTCATGCTCAGAGCAGGGTTATATCCTGTTTGGACTATGGGAGGATCCTGCTGGAGACTAAGAAGTGAAAGAGATGCAGCCCACCTCTTCCCAGTACCACTGGCAAAAAAGCTTTCCTGTGGTTACATCCAGAGCTGTGGCACCACTGCCACAAACTCTGAAGGGCCAGCACCAAACTCCTGAGCACGCAGAACAAACGTGGAACAACTGAGGAACCTTCCACAGCTCAGGGAGGTTTTACCTGGGTTCTTCATTAAGATATTCTCTTGACAGGTACAGAACAGAGGAAAGGAGTCAGAAGAACTCAAGCAAAGGTAAGCACTAGGGAGAGAATTAGTTTCATGTTGTCATCTTACTGCAGGGGTTCCATGCTGTTGTCTCCTAATCACAAAAGTTCCAAATCTTCTTGGTGTTTCTCATGGGCAGCTCCTCAGAGCACTGACTCTTTCTTCTTCACAAAGCAGCCACTGACCCCAGTTCCCTTCTCACCCACCCACCCCACTCTTTTATAGCATCTTCTTCTCATTGCTTACACCTGTGGCCTGGTAAAGTCAGGCCTGTTCTTGATCTCTGATAATTGGCCCAGCTGCAGCTCCTTAGGGGTGAGATCACTTTCTACACTGTCTCTATTTTCTTATATTCTATCCCCCTACAGTTTCACATGGTCCTATAAGAAAAGGATAACCAATAACCAAGTATGCATGTTTTAGAAGAACTGTATGAAGCTCTTTGATCTATGACCTGCATTTTTAGTCATCTTCATGTTAATCAGTTAATGTGGATATCCAATTTCAGGGTATTTTGGGAAAGAGAAAGACATAGAGAATTATTTTACTTCTTATAAAAATGTTCTTTTAATATTTAATAGCAGATATGGGTACTAGATACTAAATTTCATTACTTTTTTTTTTCTTAAAAATAATTTGTATTCAAATTTAGGATGAAACCCTAATTATCTTTTTTTTTTTCCTTTAATGAATTTTACATTAATCTTAAAAGTAAATCTTGCCTTAGGAACTTTTTCTAACATGGTCATATCAACAGGAGTAGTAGCTTCTATCAGCCATTTCCTTTCTGCAGTATTCAATAAGCAATACAAAAATGAAACATGGTTTGCAATCAGAAACCAGCATGAAAGCACAGAAAAAGCTACAGATTCCACTGTGATCTTAAATAAAGCTCAACTGCCAACACAGCCATGCCTTTAATTATGTACTGTAACTTACAGAAAACCTCAAATCTATTGTCTAGGATGATTTCAACTTCAACATCATCAGTTAAAACCTGAATGAACTTGCTTATTTTATAAAATCTTCATTTCATTATCAGCATATGAAATTGTACCCCTGTTAGGAAAAGTACTTTTAATTATCTGAGGTTTTTTATTTCTGAAGAAAAAAAATCAGGTCTTTTACATTCCTGAAGAAAAAAGATATCAACTAAATAAAAAACCTATTTAAGCTTCAAACCTTGTTTTACAATTACAAATCCGTAAAATCTGTGCAGTACAAACTTTACCTCAATCAACTTCCTTTCATAAGAGCTGGCCAGTTCCTCATTATTTTCTGCTTGCTTTTGCTCTGGAATTGTAAATTCACCATCAGTGCTCCAAATGTTTGGCAGAACTATAACAAAGAGATACCTCAAATTAAAAAGAAAAATTCCATAAACGTCCAGGACATCCTGTTTAGAAATAACAGCTCTATAAAAAACAAAATAAGCTATTAAAAACATCAGAATAGACCATAATATCAAACACTATTACAAGTACTAAAATACAGATTCTGCAAGGACCTTTTTTGGTAAGAAATACTTAGACTGGGATCTTAAAAGAATGCAAACCAAAAGCATTTGGCTGTTGTGTGACTAGAGCTGTCTAATATATGTAGTACCTGCAGTTCCTGCCCCAAGCCTTCTAAAACTAACTTTATGTTTCTCTTTTAAGCCTTTTTTTTTAACTGGGCTTCCAAAACATCATTTTATATTAGTAGCACAGACTGCTTACATATCAGAGAAATTACAGCAAACAGGACTGAGAATGAACGTTCCATACTTCACGATTCCAGCATCCAGTATTTCACCATTTTGCAGCAAGCAGAATCAGCTGGAGTTATTCCATTCCTGATAGTTAATTGTCTAATTTCTTCCTAAAACCTTCCAAGAAGGGAGATATCAGCTTCCCTGCATAACCTATTTAAATGTAAGTGTTCTTCTCACAAAGGTTTTCCTGATAGCTAATCAAACTTCCTTCACCTGCCATGGCAGCCCATTACTTCTTTTATCTGTAGTGAATGAAAATTACAGATTATTCTATTCCCGTTCCCAGCTATCATTTCAGTATTTGAAGATCACTTTAAGGCCTATTCTAAGTAAATCTCCTCCAAGTTACACAGGATCCAATTCCACTTTTCCTCATTGCTCGTGAATTTCTAAGAAAACAAGTTAACACATAAAAGTAAAGCCTAATAGAAGAGGAGGTGAACAAAGGCTTTCAACATTCTTCAAAATCTGAACTATATATACAACCACTATTAGGTAGATAGAAGAGATCATAATTTATCTGGCTAAATATTTTTGAGCCTGGAAACTGATTTTTGAGGAAGAATTTAGAAGTTTATCATTATTATTTAAGTGAATTTGAAAGCTATTTTAAGATCTTTTTCTTGTAAATGTTGCTTCAAGTTCTTCAGCCAGACTTCTAAGATCAGCATTTTTATATAAATATTCTATCTAAGCAGGTTTAAAAAATGGTACAGAGCCAACTCCTGCTGATGACTGAGAAATGAAGATGCTCATTTATTAAATATTTAAATACCAATATCCAACTGCTCAGGCTACAGCAGTGATCACTCATTTTGAAAGCTGATAGTTCTCACTTTTGGGTAATTTATTTATAATCACATTTGCTGAGTGAGGTTTTTGGCCTTTTTAAGTCTCCACAAGGCAAAATATCAAGCTGAGTTTCATTTATTATTTTAGGAAACTATTTAAAAGCCATACTCAATAGCATTTGATCTGATTATTGTAGAAAACATATAGAGCCTTCATAATTTATAGTGATAAAAATAACAACAGAAGCCCAATTTATTCTGACTCTTTCAAAACCGAGTCACAGAAAATCTGTATTCTAAAATCTACAACACATTTAGGACTTTTGTTTTCATACCATTCAGAAGATTATTTATAATTAAAATTACTCATTACATAAACAAACCATGGGTGCAATGGTTGTATAAATCTGGTAAAAGAAAAAACTCCTTTTGTTTCACTTCTTTTTTGAAGCTAGTTCTCAGGGATTATTTACATGCTTACGTACTTTGAGTCAGAGACCACAATACTACTAAAATTTCACCTAAATTTTCAATGGCAGCTAAGGAAAAAAATTTACTTTTATAAAAATTCAATATGTGAAGTTACAATGTAAGAAAAATTTATTACAAATTTGTATGTAGCTGAAATTTATTCTGGTCACTAGTGATAAATATTATAGAAAATGACAGTGGATTGATTAAGTATCTTTCCAGCATAAAGCACACGTGCATTCATTTTTAGAAATGTTGGTACTGTTCCATCCCCCCTTTTCATCTATAAAATCTGACCATCCTACTCAGTTTCTATTCTTATCACTCACTAATCTGAATAATTTTAACATGGTGGAATATAGCTAGCCTAGGAATAGTTTTTTTTTCTTTTCCTATAATTATACTCATCATGGAAACTGTCACTACCTAATGAAGGATAATTTCTGCTATTATAGGAAGCCTCAGCCATGGTTTTCGTGAATAATTCTTAATATGAATCACTACACTCCAGCAAAGTCGGAAGTAAAAACATGTGTTCTCACTAACAAATCTCCTTTTAGGGATGAATGAAGCTCTGAAACTCCAGATAAGTACAGTGGCTAACCCTGAAGAACAGTAGTATTCTCATTCATACAGCCACCTATATGACCAAAATATTCACAATTTGAAAAAATTAGATGGTGCCAATTTCTGAAAACCCATCTCAGCTCTCTGAACACCTTCTGCAGCCCGTGAAATCCAGGTTCCACCAAACGATTCAGAATCAAGACATCAATTCAGCCCCTCATGGATGCTTCTATCACTGACCACAGAAACCAACAGGTAAAACTGCTGATAACTTCACTGATTCTCTTTCAGATATAAAATCTGCCCATTAGCACTCAGTACATTGCCTATTTCAAACAGTCTGCAAATACTCATTTCCAAAACAACAGTATCATCTAGAGATACTACATTTATTTTTATATTCCAATATCACGTTAATTCACAGATTTTTATTTAAGCTAAATCAGCTTTTTCTGGAAAATTTCTTATTGAAAAAAGTAAGACCACCTCATCTACCAGAAAATGCTCTGTAAAAATGAGTACAAAAATCTACATCTGTATTTTTCTCAAAAGGAAAACATATCAAATATGTTATTTTCACTATTGGAAAGTATCACTCCCTGAATGACAGCACACAGAAAAACAAACCCTGTGCATGGATTCCTTCCCCCCCTTCATTTTAGTCTTACCTTCCACTGTTTGACCTTCTCTTCTGAGCATCTGGACAGCTCCTACATACTTCTTAAGCTGCACTTTTAGCACCTCATTTTCTCTATTGATAAAGAAAAACAGTAAATAAATATTGTTTTCCCAAAAATAGATGAGAAGTCCTTTTCAATGGAAACGAACAGATTATATTATATTATATATAACAGATATTATTATATGTTATAATAACCTTTACCTAAATTGCGTCACCATGATGCAAGGAAAAAATTAAATAATACATCAACAGCAGAGTAGCAGGAAAATTAGTTTTCCAGGACCTCATAAACACATCAGTGAAACAGATTATCTCATAATCAAAACTTTTCCATTAATTGTTTAATTTAGATTTTTTGTACTATGCTATACAGATGGCAAACAAACCACACAGTCTATCTAAATCAACAATCAACTAAAACATAAGGATGGGATGCTACACAAGGAAATGCAGAATGGCCAATGTAAAATGAAATCATTATTTTACTAATTTGCATCTAATTGCAAGCAAATAAAACTTCAGCTGTAGAAGCAGGCTTTATCATTGTAAGAAAATGGCAGCACTTCAGCAAAAAATATTCAAGGCAAAAGTTTCCACAAACCATTCCTAAATGAAAAGCATAAAACAAGAAATTGAGGTAATCCCTTCAGCTGTCAGACCTCAGTGCCTGTGCCTGTCTCATTTCTCTTATTCAAAGCAGGTACTACCATGGCTCCACTTAACAACATTAAGCACCTTAGTTCATATTTGGGGGGAAATAAGAAGGGCTCCAACTGATTGATTTTAAACAAAGCTGACAAATCACATGTCTGAAAATTCAATTATCTGCCTAAGCCCATTCAGTTAAGAGAGTATAACAGAGAAGTTTATACCAAAGAAGCATAACTAAAATGTGTTGCCAGACTGTGAATTCAAACAACTTTTACTTTTCTTTAAGATAATACTGAGGTAGAAGGATGTACATGCCACAAATGCAGCACAACACACAAGAACCCCACCAGTGTTAGGGAGAGGAGGGAATTTGGGCTGGCAAGGCCAAATTGTGCTCCAGGCACAACAAAACCTGGACATGGAACACAGCATAGAAAGCTGCAAATAGATGATACACCAAAAAAAAAAGGCATTTTATTCATGAAAATTTATTTAAGAATTAGAAATATTCAAGAAAATATGCAAGTATGTTTGATGGTGCCTATCATACTAGATATACACACACATAAAATAACATATTTTATATATATACACACACAAACTGCTGCTGTGAGCAATGCTACACTGCTCCTGTAAGGAGCCTTGACTGGCACAGTATTCCCATTCCTATGGATTTCAAGTCAGCTTGCTGAACTTTGTAACCTCAATTTTATTCAGCATTTTAGTAGGAGACTGCTAAATAATTGAGAAGCTATTGATTGCTTGGCAATCGAATTTTAAGAGTCCTTGATGATTTTATGCATTTGATGCTATTTTCCATTTCTGAGACTACAAAGAACAAATCATTTTTTTCCACCAGAGATAGACACTGATATTCAGGGTAAGGGTAAAAAGCATAAAAAACACAGTTTAATCCTATATACTGTATTAAAACAAACTTAAATAACTGATTCACAAAAAAATTTCTATGACAACTAAACAAAATGTTTCTCACCAGAATTGTAAGAATGTCTGCATGAAAATAACTGTGTACAGTTACAATATATTAAGGATTCTCATAACTCTATATCACCTCATTTCTACATATGAGAATAGACTCAGTGCCTTCTGTCAGTACTGTGACAGCATTTAAAAAAAATCAATTTTCTACTACTTTGTCTTAAAATTGACTTAAAGTTGATACAGTACAGATGAAGTTAAAAAAGACTTTAATTCATTTAAGGTTTTTGATACAAGACTGAAATTCAAAGCAGGATACTATGGCCCAGTCACAATTTTCTAATATGCTTCTATCATGTTATTACTTATTCTTTGCCATCTCTTACTCATTATTATGATTTAGCTGATTCCAAAGAGGGCCCATCCTGATGTATATGAATTTATATCGTTCTTTTAAGCAGAGAATTTTTAAAAAACATTTGGTAAGCACTCATTAAAAAGTCTTTAATGACTTCATGAGGTATTTTATCAGATATATTCCTATCAAGCATTTCACAGGAAGACAAATTCCTGTCCAGGAGTTGCAGGTCAGATCTGCAGACTGAAGGAAATTAAATATTTCTATATGCAGGCCCTGCTGTACTTCTGCAATGTATCCAAACTACAACACCCAACCTGAAGCAGAACTGTTTGCCTGTTGTGAGCCCAGAGGTCAACACAATATTTTCAGCATCTTTCAAGTGCTCCAAATAGTTCTACATTTAGTGCTGAAGAATGAGCAACAAGACTGTAAGTACAAGTTGAAAGGGATAGAGAAAAGATTTTTTTAAAAAACTAAGGCTGAAATAGCCAACAAAAAAAAGGCAGAACTGCACCAGTAAAAGCACATCCTTCTCCAAAACCTCAATTGCACCAAACTTCCCTGCCTGATCACTTCTTCCATTTAATAAGCTGAAAGACAGATGGCAATATGTGCTGATATAGGGGAAAATGAAAGTGATAGAAGATGACATTGTAGCATTCCCACCAATTACTCTTTTTGCTCAAATAGCAAAGGTCTAGTGAGTGTTGTTTTTAGGCTTCATAGCACATATATAGGAATGATCAATTATATAATGAATGTAAGTTGTCAAATATCTTCAATTCCCTGCCTAATTTTTAATCAAAAATAATTCCTCTCTATTTTATTATTTTTAAAATAGCATTTAAGGAAACCCTGTCTGAAAGAAAATCAAAACTTCAGCCAGAATGATAATTTTTTTTAGCAGCAAAAAACAAGCTTGTGTTTAGGAGGCACAGACTTGTCTGTTTTGCATCCAGTGAATGAACATAGAGCATACAGTTTTTGTTGCAGACAAAGAGGCCTTACAGGATTTATTTTCTTATACCTTAGTAGAAAAAAAGAAAGAAACAAACCCAAACAAAACACCACACATCTGCTTCTTGAAAACTATATAAAAATTCTCTAGGGCTTCTGTAAAATGAGCATGGTAAGAAAAGAATTTGAAAAAGAGTAATTTCTCATGTATCTCAAGTATAGTGGCCTGAATGTAAATAATTTTTGGCACAAATATCAGACTCTAGCAAGTGCTTTCTGTGAAGCCTACTCCAGAAAGGTGTCTCATTTCTAAATTCAGCATTGAGAAAAATGAAATAAAACAAAACCAAACAAACTACAAGAATCCAACAGATGTCTATGTTTTGATTAAAAAGTTAAGGTTTTTAGGAAATACAATAAAGGTACCAAATATACAAACAATAAAAAAACCTGCAGGAATTAAGAATGAATTTAAATAAACAATGTCCTGCAACATTATGTAGAATCTGAAGGACTTCCAGAGATGCCTTCTTACCTGAATGATTCTACTATGACGAGATGCAAGATCACAGTTGTCATCAAATACAATTAAACAAGGAAAATGAGATCTGTTACTCATGGAAATAGAAGTTGAACTGTATACAAAATAATGAGATTATATGATAAAACCAATCTCCAGAAAAAACTTTAATGAGGAATAATGTGCTAAACTTCACTGCTTGTCCGGGACTGGGGCTGCAGCAGGAGCAGGGCCATCACTGAAAGCTTCCTCCTGGCTGGGGGCTCCTCAGAGATGGAGGCTGGGAGGTTTTCACCTTTACTTCTTCTCCTTCCTCCTCCTCATGCTGCAGCTGCTTCTCCTCCTCCTGCCCTCACTGATGCCCTGCTGCCAAACATTCTTCCTCCTGCTCCCTCTGGGAAGCTCCTTTGTCCCTCACTAGGGGCTGACTTCCAGTGGGTTTTTTCATGTCTAGGAGCCACTGATGACTCGTGACATGTCACCAACTAACTAAGCAGGAAGAAAAAGTCATTTAATATAGGAATATTCTAATTAGATTTCACAAGCAGGAACAAGAGATATTTTTCCTCTCTCTAACAAACTGCTAAAGGGAAGTGATGGAACCATTTCAAGATGTGCCACACATCAGTTCACCCATCACTGAAGGGCTATGGCTGTGAAAGAAGTGCTGCAAAACAGAATAACAGAAAATGCCAAATCCAAAAGCAATGTCGTTTAAGTAACACAGACAGTAGATAGAGGAGACATATTAGGTTAAAGAATCTACAGTAAACAGGAGGTATGTAGAAGTGTAAGATAAAGTAGAGACAAATGCTCATCCCCCATTTCCCCTGTACATAGTGCATTTTCATCTCCTCTACCTGCTTTTCTTGCTACAAAGCCTGTCCTTTGTATTATGCTTTCCTCCAAAATTGCTGAATATAGTCTAAGAATATGCAATCTGAGATTATCCAATTTCAGAGTTAACTTCGAAAAATTCCTTTGCCTTGCAAAGGGATGTAATAGTATTCCACACAGAAAAGAAGAATCTCAGTTTAAAAACTTCAGTACTGCCAAGAAGCCACTGGCACAATATGTCCATGCAATTTGAGAAAGGTTCATTGACAAGAACAAAAAAAACCAAAAACAAACAAACCAAAAAAAGGGGGAAAAACCCCAAAAACCAAAAAACATTATACTAGAGAGACTACTGAGTGTATTCTATCAAAAGAGTAGCAAATAGATTGAACCTGAGCCTGCTCCTTTTGGAACAATATAGTAACTGTTATGGAAGAGTTATTCAAGTATTTCACATGGAACAATGAGATTACCAGGGCTTGAAACTAAGCTCACCTAAGACTTCTTCCATTTCTCAAAAAGAAAATGGGAAACTTGGGAAAATGTCTCTGAGTAAACCAGCATTTTGGCTGGGAGGCCAGAGACTCTTGGGAGGGTCCAGGAGAAAGAACAGCTGAATCATTGCAGATTTCCAGAAACCATCATTTCAGCACTGACTGATATGTCACTGAAATTTGTGTTCTCAAAGCCTTCAGGAAGCTATTTATGTCAAATTCTTCAAAAGAGCTTTGGGGACACACATAAATATCAGCTCTCATAATCTGAAAAATAGTCATTCATCAAATCACAACAGTCAGATTGTTACTGAATGATTTCCCTTGCCTTAAAATATTCAGAACATCACAACTGAGGAAAATTTTCTACTCTGGTCATGTGATCAATTGTTTTCAAGGGAAACTGAGATTTCACTACTTCAAAATATCTGAAACTTAGTTTCCTATTACTCACCTAACTTATTATGCAGAACTCAAAAAGCAATTCCAAACTTTCTGTTACTTCAAATTCTTTAGATTATTCAGCTTGCTCAATTTCTTGGTTTAAAGCACTATTTATTTCAAAAATTTACTACTCTTATTATTGCAGCAGCATCACCTACAGCATACAAAGTGAACCAACAAGAATTTAGAAGAAAAACCTATATTCCAAAGAAACTACACAAAAAATCTCTTGTGTTTAGATGTTAGAAAATGAGTTGCAATGAATCATTAAAGAAATGCCTCCAAATCCAAAGTAACTGGTGACACATGAATTTATCATGCCTCAGCAGCTCCCAACACTGTTTTTATCACATGATAAGGCAAACTGACTTTAAGAAGAGCAATCAACACAACACATCCATATAGCAATAAGAGGAATTACACAGACTTATTTAAAAATACCTCATTAGTCTAAGTGAGCATCTCTTCAGGTCTGGTTATAAAAGCTCCTTATCTATTCTTTAAAGAGGTATGTGCATGACAAATATCTGATTCACCCATATGTCACTGCAAATTCTAAAATTGTGGGGGAAGTGAGTCAAAGAAATATGAATATACAACTCCTATAACCTGAAACATGAATATTAAATGATGAAGTATTTGCATTGTCTCTACTGCCTTACAGCACATGAATGTCAAACCCACTTATTCATATCTCTCCCTCCCTCAAAGCAAGTAGTTTGGTTTGATGTGTCATCAAAAGCAAAATTAGTAGTGTCCTAAATACCTTTATTTTTAAGAAAGCTTTATATTTATCATTTTCAAATAGGCAATAAAAATCTTAAAGGAATCTCAGCTGTGGTACTTTGTGATTGACACTAAACACACTCTGCTCGTGCATCACAAAACAAACACCTCTCTCTGGGTAAGGCAAATTATTTAACTCTTGGATTGTTTGTTGTTTACTATACACATGAATCACCCCCAAGATCTTACACATCATGGTTACTCTAGAGCTTATTTTGAATTGTAAGAAGCAAATCATACTATTACAGCAACATTTACCTTCAAAAGTCTTTCTGAAGCTGAATCCCATTTAGACAAGGAGAGGGCTAAAACTGTTTCTATTTCACTGTAGCACAAAGTCAAGCTGGAGGCAACTCAATACTGGGGCCAATGCTGTTTGACACCTTAACATTACCTGGATGCTGGGCCAGAGCACACCCTCAGCAAGGTCACAGACAACACAAAACTGAGGAGCAGAGACACTGTGTGGCTGTGCTGCCACCCAGGGGGACAGGGACAGGCTGGAGAACTGGACTCAGAAAATGTCTGTGAAGTTCAACAAGAGTAAATGCAAAGTCCTGCATTTGGGGAGAAATAGCTCAGGACAGCCAGGCAATGCTGGAGGGCTGGAAAACAGCTCTGTGGAGGAGGAGAATCTGGGAACCCTGGGGGACAGGAGCTGAGCATGAGCCTGCAACACCCACTCCACAGTAAAGCAAGCCAAGAGCAGCCTGGGCCCCACGAGGAACAGCACTGCCAACAAGTCACTGCCAACAGTGCTGCCCAGAGGGAGTCAGGAGTCCCCATCTGTGCAGACATTCAAAGCCTGACTGGAAATGGTCCTGAGAAACCTGCTCCAGATGACCTTCCTGGAGCTGTGGGAAAAACACCTGCACCACTTCAGAACTTGGTACTCTCTTGGTGATAATGTCTAGCAGCAGCTATTGCTTACCACAGGACTTGTAGTCCTACATCGCTTCTGTTCTTCTGCAAACTCAGCCCCTTGAAAATTATTTCCCTTCTATACAGACTGCTATTCCCTCGTTCCCTGCAGTCATTTTCAGCAGTTCTTACCGTGCCAAAGCCTGGACTTTGGTGGCATGTCGCTCCTCCTGCTCTGCCACCTTCCTCCTGCAGTTCTCCACCTCCTGCCTCAGAGCTGCAGAATGCTCCATCTCTGCATCCAGCAGGTTCCTCAGGGATCTGCAAGAGGGCAGCAGCCTCTCTTTAGGACACTGCACACACTACCTGCTAATTCTAGTATACTCCAAGAATCACAGAGGAGTGATACCACTGATGTCATCCAAAAATTTCATTAGTCAATTTAATAAATTCACCTGATTTGATTATACAGAGATATGAAAAGTTACAAGAAAAAAGCAGTTGCAAATGTTTACTATTAATTTGTATTACTATCCTGTCAACAAGCCCAAAGCACAACTTACTGTGGGATCTACTGTATCAGTATGCAGAAAGAATTTGGTTTTTTAAAAAGCTGGTAAGCTGTTTTCAGTACTTCAGTGCAAGTCCATACATCTTGGGAATAATCTATAAGCAATATATTTATAGCAAGACAGGCAGGGCTCTTGTCTCTGCCAAGTGCACTGCCACAGACCTCTGTGCAAAAACCCTTGATGAGATAGCAAAGGTCAGCATGATGCATAATGGTAAAACCCAAAGCATCCTGGTCCTTCTGCCAAAAAAAGCCCACAAAGCTGAATGAGGCAATAACTTGCAATTATGGGAGTGGGAAGAATAGGAGGAAGGAAAATAGGATCTGTTGGTAAGCTCAGCATTACAAAGCCCAAAATACCCTTACTAAAGCATTGAATGCATTTGTATTTTCATTCGTCTAACTATGTGTTTCAATAAACTAAGTAAATATAAAGTATGTTTGATGGCATTTTATATAAGCAACTGATCATTTCTACATTTACATCATCATTGTGCCCCAAGTGAACACAAAGACAGTCAGAAATGAAAGTCACTTTCAGCATTACATTGCCAGCCATCCTACATCACTTCTTCACCAGAAGGGAAAAAACAGAAATTAAGTTAACCTTTCACAGAAAAAATAATATATACATCAAAGAGGTTACAGAAATATTATGCATAGCTTTACAAAAAGGACAGCTTGTATTAGAGAACAGTTTTTTTTGTTTAATTACAGTCCCTCTTGACTAAAAAAAACAAACTACCTATTCTGTTCTTCCAGCTCATCCTTTCTATTCATCATGGCCACGATAGCTTGACGAAGTTCATCTGAGAAGAAGGAATAAAAAGGATTAATGTCTGTGTCCATTTTTGCTCATTTTACATCTGGAAGTCATGTACACAGGCAGCACACTTAAGATGATGCCAAGACCATTTGCTATTCAGGAAAGCACAGAAAAATGCTCTTAATCTCATCACTAATTCGAGCAATCTTTCAAAGGCAGAGTTATTTAACACCACATCAGAAGCATTGATCAAATCAAATTAGTCTGCATCTGGCTTTAATACAAATGTTTACAAGTGTGCCTGTGGTTGCAGCTGTTTTGTTTTCACAGATGTAGGGCAGAAAGCACCTTTCCACCACATGCCTATTAATGACATACACTGTTACTTGCTCAGCTTCTCCAAACTGCTGCTTCTCCTGGCTGTAAATCCTGACACAGGAAATAACTGCTACAGGGAGATGGGAGCACAGATAATGTCATTGCTTCCTCATGGCATTGTTTCTCAAGTTTAGGGCTAAAGATGATGAGATTTCTGAATCTCATCATTTCCTATAAAATCCTTTCTATTTTTTTACAAATACCATAAAAATACTTCCTGTCATTAAATCAAGAATAAATTTTTTTTAAAAAAACAACCAACAGAATTTTAGAATTTTTAAAGATTTCCTTTAGGTTAAGCTTAACATGATACCAGAACAGCCAAATACCATACTGAAAAGTGTCAGCTCCAACAATTTCATTAACAATTTCACATACATTAACCAATAATTTTATAAGTGCTACAAGGACACAATTATATTAGACCATCCCTCCCAAAATTTAAGTGAAATGTTTATATAATAAATCAGCCAATTCTGTTCTGCAAGTATTCAATGCAGATGCCAGTAAATTTCAGTGTGCTTTTACTGAAAATATACCAACAGAACAGGTGTTACTTGATTTCTTCAAGCAAGCAAAGCCATTGGATAACTTTTTTCCCCTTTACATTCAGTACACAGTATCTTTCACCTGTATCTTTCTTAATATTTTCAACAGTTACAGAAGTTTTTGCCCATTAAAAAAAAAAATTAACATTTTCCTATGGGCCAGAAGGAGTCTGACAAACTCTAGTAGTGGATAAAGTGCAAAAGATTTTATTATATCAATCAAATGTTGACAGTCAGTGCTGCAGACATCATGATCCCAGTGTGGCCTTGGTAATCTGCAGATAAATCCCACCCTTGCAGGACTGCAGGGTTCAGCACAGTTCTTGTATTATTTGAAATCAGCCAACCCAAATTTCTTCATGCTAGATTTTTTTCCAAAACATTCCTGAGTTTGTGGCCAGGGAGAAAGCAGATGATCAGTTTTCTGCCCATTCCATAATACCCATATGACACTTTAAGAGGTAAATGACATTAGCAAGACACATTTCAGTAGGTCATTAGAGGGAGTTTGCACTTCATTAATTCAGCATAAAAAGGATAATTATCTTTCTACAGTAACTTAGCATATTTTATGCAATCCTAAAAAAAAATCAAAATCTTGTAGAAAAACTGAAAGTGAAACAGTGACATTTCTGGGTATTAAATACTAGCACAAGGGACCACAATCCACCAGCCTATCTGTGAAATAAACAATTGCTCTATAGATGAGGAAAATGCAATAATCCATTGTTAGAGCATCATACAAATAAACAACTCAAGCAAAAGCATCCACAGTAAGTTTTCTGTACAGTATCACTCCATAACAAAATTCCAATCTTGAACCATAATGTTGAATTCAGAATCCTCAAGGACACATCAAGCCGATGGCATTTTAAATATTTTAAGTGTGCCATTAAAATATGATAGTGCATGATCAACAAGTAGTTGCTGTTATGTCTCTAACTCTGAATAAATTAAAGCTGTTGCTGCTCAGACACGGCTCTGCACTTGCACAGGGTGCCCACTCTGCAGCAATTGCCTCTGTGTGTACTCAGTCTTTTAATGTGTGCTGATTTATTAACATTTATACAGCTAAACTATTATAAATTGGCTTCATTATTTCAATTTACCAGCCTATTCAAACTGTAACCTTAACTTGCATAATAACTTAATCTTCTTTTCCTTATTCCATCCAGAATCTTCTGCATGAGTTGAGACCTGAAATTCCATCTTTTCTCACTCCCCTCTCCCACACACACACACAAGCAGAGCACAAAAGCAAGATCCTGCTAAAGACCATAGTTTGCACAGAAGAGGAAGAAAAAAAAAGCCTCTTGAAATAGACTTGAAATTGCTTATTTATTTCCATTTGCCTCTATTTTTCTGAAAGTCATGGAATTGACAATACTACAGAGAAACAACAAAGCAGAAATTCCAAATTTCATTATCACATACAGGACAAAAATCGATGCTTAATTTAGGACCACAAATGCAAACACATTTCATAGTCAGTATTTATCTCAATTACAGGTACCAGTGGAGATGTGCAATGAAAGCATCAACACAAACCACCAGGCTGGGATAAGAGACCAGAATTCCAATAGGCTGGTCCAGCCCAGCAAGATTGCTCCATGGCTATAGCTCTGCTGTTTCTTCTTGAACTGATGAATATTAAGGAGCCATATTTTCTATAAATCACTCAAAACAAACACAAGAACTACACAGTTTATAATCAACACTCCTTTACCCTCTCTATGCAAAGTAAGCACAAAAAAAAAAAAACATCATTAGTGTAATTAAATGAGCAAAAATTTACCAAGAAAAAAAAAGCAGAAATTTTAATGTCATGATCTTTTGAAGCAAGGAACAGAGCAGAACTAAAAGGAAACCATCCTATTTAATTCAGGTATAATATTTAAAACTTTCAAAAATTCTAATTTCTTACTTTCACTTACGCTTCCTGAAAAATTTCAGCAGCATGTCAGAGCAGTCAGCTGAATGCAAAGGAAATCCAGGATCATACACTGCAGCAGGTTCCCTTCAAACCTGCCAGAACATCCCCAGTTCATGAGCTTTTGTCTGTCTGCTACACTTGCCTCCAAGATGAGTGTATGATCATAACCTATTTTTTCCAGCAGTCTTATGTCTCATACATTGTGTGGGTTAGAAAAGGGAATAAATTTTAAAAAATGTCAGGGTTGTAGCAGCAACCATAAATTTGGCATTTTCTGACTTCTGAACTGTGCAACCTCAATCTTTCTTGCCCCCCCTTTTTTTTTTCTTTTTTTAATAAAACAGTGGGAGGATGGCCAAGTATTCCTACTTCAGAAAAGTGTTTGATATTAGACTTTATGTCCCACCTCTGAGCTGTTTTGTGCTTGATGACATTTATGCTCTGTAAAGTAACATTAACAAAAGGCAATACACTACTCAATAATTATTAAGGATCAGCATTCAACACCAATATATCTAAAAGTGAAGTGATAACCTGAGTTCCATAAAGACAGGGATAAGATGATAACTAGTGAAGTTTTTCCTAAGAGGTAATTTTGCAATGACTTCTTAAAAAAAGAATTCCCATGTACAAACATATAATTCCAAACCATTCTTTATCAGCAAAAAAAGAAAACATAATATGAAAAAAAAAAATCAAGGAATGTACTAATTAAATTGTTCATATTAAACCTCACTTTTTTGAACACTAGCAATATTATTTTATTGCTGAAATTAATCTGTGGTGCCTAATTACTCACGAAGTGAGTATTTGCTCTAAAACATTTGTTAATTCCATCCCATACTTCATGCAAAATCTAGCTTCTAGAAAGCTTTCAGAGGGTCACAGAGCATGAAATATATAATGCTTTGAGAAACACCTGCCAGTTTCCAGCAACCTCCAGAAAATTCATAAGTTTCACAACTCTTGTGCTATTTAGCCAAAGATTGGAGCAGTATGATTTGCAATCACCTGTTGTGAAGAATGAGCTGTAAGTGAAATCATCCCTCAGAGTACACAAGGTCATGCAGCCTCCTCTGCAATCCTGCAGATAGAGTATCAGGGTGGGCTGGGAACAGTTTACAGGAATTTTTTTTTTTTTTTATTTTCATGAGTGAAAATTTACACAGATATTTTCAGAGACAAATAAGACTTCCAGCAGACTAGTTACATCTTAAATCAGAAGTGTGACCTTTAAAGCTTGATGCTCCCTAAGCTGCCTACATGAACACTGTGTTTTAAGGCTTAATTTAGTGCTCAAAAACCTTGTAAATATAATCCTGTCATGTCACTATTCACAGGGCAAATTTTAGTAGGAAACAAATTGTGTTGCCCTTCTCCTGCATAGAAGGGTCCTGGTGCAAACCAAGTCTGTAAAGCAGACTGCAGCTTTCTTCTCCCTGATGAAATACAAACACCCCCCCTTCACAGCTGTGCTTCCAAAGAAAACACAGGAATTTAGTACCTGCCCCTGACTGGGGCAGCTGGGCTACAGAACAGGTCAGCAGCTATCCAGAGGACACAGCAAGTACAAAAACATACACCTTATTCACTTACACACCCAGGATAAAAATAAAACATGGAGGTTTGATTACTCAGTCAAGCTCTTCAGTGATCATGAAAAGCTCGGGGATTTCTCAAGAATATATGAAAAAGAATGGAATGATGCACAATGTTACAACCTTTCCTAACCTTTGTGGTAAAGCTCAATTTTAAAAACTGAAGAAAATTATAGTGAAAAAACTAAATTACCAATTATTTCCTAAAACTAGCACTATAATAAAAGAACCTCATAAAGAAGAGCACAAGTAGTGTCCTTCTAAAATGAAAGTTTTGCAACTTATTCTTTTTTCTATTGCAAAAACAAAATGGAGAGACTTGTGCTGGTAGAAGAGATTGTTCTGGTGAAAAACAATGCTGAAAATACAATCTTCCAATAGCAACTCCTGAAACAGTGTTGTTTGTGATTCAAGTACAATAAGATAAAGAAAACTTTTTTAAAAACTGAAATTACACTGTAGAGTAGATGCATAAATAGAAAATTTCTGACCAGCTTAACTCTTTATAAACTTGGTTATAAAATTTGGTTATGACAAAGCAATCTGCACAGCAGGGCCAGTTCTCAAATTATGCCTGACATAAGCAGCAAAGCTCTGTGGATTTCTCTTGAGTGGTATTAGTATTTTTTGAGATGTATCTGTGGCTAAGTCAACCTATACCTTACAAATGCATGGGGCATAATTCAGGAAAATAATTTGAAATGAAAGAAATTTGAAATGACAGATTCTCCTAACTTACTAGCCTGCATATCAAAAGAAGTAAGAAAAGTTTAGTACTATCCTAATAGGTTGGAAAAAAAGCAAAAAAAAAAAGAATATAATTTTTAAAAAATCCATTTCAGGCTTTGTCTTCAAAAGTAAGAAACACAAAAATCCAGTCACTGGAGACCTCACAGCTTTTCTCACTGCACTACTGCATTCCATTTTTCTTGCCTGATGTGTTAGAATCAGTTGCTATGCAACCAAGCTATAAGCCTCAGCATTTAATAATTCTTCTGCTAATTGCAACAGAGAGAAAGAGCTTCAGTTTCTGACTTTGTCATAGCACTGAATTCCTCCTGTAGAGAATCTACGACCAATAACAGCAAACTTGAAAAAAGCATTTTTATTCAACGTACCCAGGATCATCTCTTATAAAGGTAATCACTAATTCTATAAATGTATAGTCAGCTGAATTTTAATTATAATTATGATTATTTACTAGGTGTTCCACTGGCTTTATAGATGGGTTTGACATGCTTCCCACCCTTCCTTTCACCAAAGCCTTCTCCGAACTGGGAAACTAATGATAGTGTGCACACTTCTGTTGATCCTGTGTTTTCATTTCATTTACAAACTGCTAAGTATTGAGAATTGAAAGCCTCCAGATTTTCTTTCTATTTTATAGCTCTTACCTACAATGGGAAATAACTGAGCCACTGAAGGAGACCAACTGCGGCCCCTGCTGGTACCTGACTCCCCTACAAACAGCAGAATAACAGAGTGCAGGGCCACCAGAAAATGGCCCTGTGCAATTCTGAGAAATAAATAAGAACAAAAGGATGTGTAGGGATAACATTAACAGAAAATACCAGTGACCAAAGTATCACTGCAGCAAATAACAGTAAGTCCATTCCACACTTCAATTATGGCTCCTAGAAGTCCCAAGCTAGTTTGCCACTTTGTGACACACTTTGTAAGAAAGAATTTTTCAGTTTCGTAAAGCTCAGTGAGCAGACCAGTGTCAGAGCCTGAAACACTGCCCAGTGAAAATGCTTGTTTTATCTCTTTAGCACAGGTTGATACAGCATTTGAATATAACTTTAGAAAATGAGATTAGAATATCTGAAGATTTCATTCATTTTGATAATTGCATTAATCAATTGCAGAAAAGAATCTTGGCTGCATTGCTTCTAACTTCCCAAATGTCATAATTTAAAACTTGTACATATTGAAATTTCTAAGAAGAAACAAACACATACCCAAGTTCAGTTACAGAACATTCTGTACACTGAGGAACATAAACACATACTGGGTTACAAGCTTAGACATTCAGTTTAAGAACTGAGTCTTTGTTCTACAAGTGTATGCAAAGAAAAAAGATCAAATATGTGATAAACAAACTGCCTGTGCTTCTATTAATCTACCTCTGCAGCAAAGACTACTTCATCCTGTCTAGCTTTGCTCTTAATACCACTGAAACATGACTGTCCTCCTTAATCTTAAGTTTTTGTGAAAGTCCACGTGTATGTTTGGAGCAGATTTTCATATCAAAACCACAGAAAGAATGGGATTTGTTTGTTCCTGACTAGCCTTTAATGAAAACAGGCCAAATAAGCAAGACTACATCAGAACTAAGCCTCAATGTGTTCAGAACTTGTAGAAATTTAAAGATGTTAATCAAATCATTATTTTTCATTTAACTACTGAAGCCACATTTAATATAAGGATATATCAACTGCAATGAAGCATAACCTGCCAATACAAACATCATTTTAGAGCAGTTATTATAACATGACCAGAACAACAGAAATTAGGTGCTCCAAGACTCTCTAGGCAGATTTTATTGAAACAAAAATAGAAAGAGTTACAGGACTTTCAAAGATATTTCTATCAATCTAGATACATCAAGGAAGTACTTACTAATTGTCATGGATTCTGGCACAGTGGCTGAAGGCAACATACTGCTTAAAGTATTCACTTGAGCTGGAGGACTGACTTCCACTCTAGTCATAAAAGCACAGTAAAATCAATATATGAAAAATATGAAAAAATATTTGAAAAATCCTGAATTCAAAACTTAAGAAAAAATATTCCAGAAACTAGAATTGTTATCCTATTCACCCATATTTAATCAAAATATGTTGAACAATTCTTTAATGTATCTCCTAGGAGTCTGATTTAAGCAAGCACACAAAAACTCCAAATTAAAAGTCCATGGAGAATGTAGTAAAAAAATAACATAAAAACCAACATAAAACCTATTTCCAAAACCAGGAAGCCAAGTCTGTTATTTGAAATGAGTGACTTCCTCAAGATAATTAGGAAAGTTCAGTGTAAGAAACTAGGTAAAAAAGGCAATTGTAGGTTTTTTGCATTTGTCTTTCCAAACATATGCACAAGTATCCTGATGAGCAGTTGGTTTTGCAGTACTAAGTGCATTAGTTAACAGTAAGTTGGCAGCTACAGAGTGAAGGATTTTTCTTTCAGGACAAGCATATTTGGCACATACCTGTAAGGAAGATCAGATCTCCTTGGAACCAGTTCTACTGGATGAACAGCATGTTCATGCCCCTCTCCATTCTCCAAGTTATCTAAAGCAGAATGCACAAGCATTAGTTTCCTTTGGATTACACTACTCAAAAAATAAAATAAAAACATAAATCCAGAAGTTAGATAGTTACTTTTCTAAACAGAAACACTCAACTTACTATAGCTTTTAAACACTTTTAATTCTGTCTCCAAAGCTGGCTTCTGCAAATTGACCCTGAATGCCAGCAGGATTGTCAAGACTCTTAGGAAAAAAAAATCTTTAAGTATTGCACAATTCCTAAATTATACTTGATATGTAGAGAGTTGCACAGCCATAAGGAGACTTCCTGAAATTACTTGTGCCAGCCCCCAGAGTTGAAGCACCTCATGACACCTCATGCTCACTACAAATTGTGACTTGCAGAAGAATTTGTGGTTAATCCCCAGCACGTGAAACCTTGCAAAGACATCAGTGCTTTCTGTATTCCCAAGAGAGCACCATGGCTTTTCTCTGGCTCCTTACATCCCTGTACCAACCATCAGGAAGCAGACAGATGAGATATTGTTTAAAAAGCATGAATAATGTGCATCTGTCCACAGATCCACAGCTGTCGGCACCAAAACATCCACATCACTGAGCCTGTCATGGAGGAAGCTCAGGTGGAAACAAACAAAAATCATATTTTATTGGTGTCTTCTGCATCTCACTATGTAAGGGCAATGAAGATACTACAAGGCAATCCTAAATAGAACAGATTCTATTCTAATAGAATAGAAGCAGAAATTCTAGAAAATAAGTTAATGGGAAATAAAGTTATGTCAGAAAGTCTATGGAGGAGAAAAATTATTTTTGAAGCTGTAGAGTTTACTGAAGCTTAGTTCCTAAAATACATAATCCATTTTTGTTCCAAGCAACTGCATTTTGACGGAGGCTTTCTCATCTCTAGCTACACAGAGATATGATATGCCCTGACACATCCCTGGAGCACTGCAACAGATTAATACTGAAAACACATATTAACATACAACACTATAGATTATACTTTATCAAACATATATATATGTGTGTGTATGTGTTATTTATTGGTATTAAAACATATAAACCAAAATATTGGGTTAAACTATGTATTTTACAAGACCTCATTAAGCATATTTTAACAAAAATATCACAATAATAATGAGCTTGGCAGTTAGTGGGCTGGACTGCCCTCAGAATAAGCTAATGCATGTTCCTTCTGCCATCATTCATCCAGCACAAGTGCAACTCCCAGAGTCAAGCAAACAAGTGCCTAAGGCAGCTTTCAATCTCAGCAAATTGTCAGTGTGGCTGAGGAGAGGGTGCCTGGATCCCTGTGTGTCCCTGTCCCTGACTGCTGCCACTTGGGCTGTGCAGTGGGTGCTCAGTGCAGCCCTGCCTGCACCCTCCATCAGCTGCTCCTGCTCAGAGGTGAGGCCAGGAGAGCACACACTGGGGGCTGGGGGCTTCCCTAGCTCTGATAACAGAGTCCCTTCACCAGCCCAGTGCTGGATCACTCTCACTGCATGACAGACCACAAAGAGGGACAGAAGGACGACTGAAAAGATCTGTCCTGTGCCCAGAAGGGATCTGAATGGGCCTGTTGATCATCACCAGTAGGCTGAGCATTGCAATCAAAACAGTTCTGAGATGAAGCAAATGAAACAAGGGACTTTGGTGACTTCTTAGCAAGGGTAAGCCCCTGGGACAGCTGTGGATAAGATGCATATAGAAATGTACAGATGTGCTCTTTGGTCATCTGCCTCCAGAACTAAGTGTGGGCTTGCACTCCTGATTTTGGATTTCAGATCAGAACCCCAGCTCATGCTCCTGATGCCTCGTGACATCAACTGACACCAACTGTGAGTTCCATTCCACACACACCCCCCACAGACAGGAATGGATTTTGTATCCCAGATTCCAACCTGTGGATGTTCCCCAACAGTTTCTGGTTTGTACTGAAGAGATCACAATGCCACAAACTACTCAATGTTTTCTAAATCCATTCCTTTGTAAATTGAAAAATATGGCAGCACAAGAAATAATTTTAAATGTCCTTTTTTTTTTAACCACTGGCATTTCTTATGAGGTACATATTTTAAAATACAGCAGAGGGCAGTGCAGCATTATTTTATGATTCACATTTTTGTCACTGAACTTACACAACTGAATTACACTTTTACACAGCCTTCAATCAACAATCCATTTAAACTCTTGGACATATAATGTGTATGCAAAAATATGAAATGTACTGCAATTAAAACATTATTTGAATACCACAGACAAGTTTTTAAATGGTCACTGAAATGAGCATACCCAAAGTTCAGTGTTATATGAACAGCTAGACAAATATCAGCAGGGTGAAGGGGAGGGCTGGTGGACTTTTTTGCTTGTTTTTGGTACTAATACAAATATTGTAAAAGCACCAGGCCTTCTTTTCCATTCCTTTAACCATTTTTATTGCTTGTTTCAAATAGTCCACATCATTCTTGAAGTGTCCCTCACTGCCTACAGCTGCAGCTGAGGCCACAGCAGAGTCAATGGAGCTTACATTTACAAATGACACTCATGCACAGCTCTGTTAATTCACTATCAGCTTGTAACCTGCAGAAAACCATTTGAGGATACTGGCATAGGAAAAATTAGATGTGAGCTGGCAACTGGTGCTCACAGCTCAGAGAGCCAGTCTTACAATAAATGATCTCTGCAGATCCCTTCCAACCCAAACCATTCTACAATTCCCATATCCTTTTCTGAGCAAGTATTTCCTAGTCAATCATTCCTTATGCTGTGTTTCAACAATTAACAGCTTCCATTGAACTGCTTCCAGCTGCTCTCTAATCTGTCAAGATTAATTTGAATTCAACTTCTCAAACACACTTGGAGCTTCTTGCAGCTTAGAGGTATCTAGAAAACTGATATGGATACTTTTTATACAACCATCCTAAACTTCAATAAAATACAAGACCACAGCTTAATCCCAATGAAACTCTGGGTTATTTTGACATTGATAACTCCCCCTAACTAAGTAACTACTCAAATGGAGAACTCTGATTCAGAAGTAGAATAAATTTGAACTTTTAATCCCAGTTGTGTAGTACCTGCTGTGTCTGTACAATCCTGTTATTTCTTACCATTGTCCCATGTTAGAATAAATGGTGCTGGAATTCTGTGGATTCAAATGCCCACCTGTTTGGGAGTAAGAGCCAACAGCACTGACAGGAAATAGAACATCTGAGTCATCATTCAGGACCTGCAGAGGACTCCAGCTGCATATCTGAGAATTGCATGTGACTATTTCCCGAGGCCTATTTAGAACAAACAAACAAACAAACCAATCTATTTATACAGCCACTATTACTGTTCATAATGCTTATATTTCTTTCAGAGATACCACTGCAAGAAAAATCTTTATTTCAATCTGCCTGCCAATTTCTTGGTCAGCCATACATTAATTCATTAAAGACCAGACATTCCAAAGCAGAGGAGACAAGCAGCACTTGCCTTTTTCTCTAAACAAATTTCTGTCAGAAATAAAGCATATCAGTATCTAAAATTATTCTTTCTCTCTCAGTTTTGTCCTTCCTTGTTGAACTGTCTACACTGTGATGTAACAAGCTTACTCTGTTTAAATACACATTTTTATTGTGAAGCCTAAATAGAATTGCTATCATACTAAGAATAAGGAAACATCAAGTAGGCCAGAACTATATCCTGGTTATATCATGTCACAGTTTTAACAACTGAGAACTCCAAGGAGAACAAGAACTCTGATATCTCAAAATCTGGGGTTTCAGTGAAACTTAGAAGCAAAATATCATCACTGCAGTGGCCCATATTGTTTAAACAGTAAAAAGAAGAAAAAAAAAAAAGGGGGGGGTGTGGAAAAGGTGGGGGAGGAGAAATAGGGAGAGAAAAAAAAAAGAGAAAATCTACAGTTTAGTTCAACACATGAATTTCCAGTAGCCATAAAAGAAAGGGAGGGGTGGAGGGGAAGCATGGAAAGTTGACCACTATCTCCTGCACCAATACTTACTTCTCAGAAGCTTCAGTTCCACCTTCTGTGCCTTTATTTCCTAATGATTTTCCATACAGCTCATCCTCATCTGCATCTTCATCATCAATGCTCTTCACATCCAGTTTCTGGTACTCATACTCTCCATTCATGAATACTGAATTGTTCTTCCACGAATGGTTACTTTCACTCCCATTCAGATTTTTTCCCAGAGTGCTTTCAGATGAAGACAATGCAAGAACTGAAGATCTGTCCACACTCTCCTCTGAACTTTCTCCTGTCATCAGAGTCTTTGTGCAATCCCCCAAGTTTTGCTCATCTTCCTCTTCATCAAATGAGATAATATTAGTCACCCTCTTCTTCTTTTTTCGATCTTTTTTGTATTTCAAATCTAGTAGTAATACAAAGTTTTTACACAGTTTAGAAAAGAGAAATAATATATGAAACCTTTTTTTTTCTTAAAAGGGCTCATGTACTAACTTACTCTAATCAAGAAAAAACCACTTAGATCTACATGGCATTCATTATCTTTCCATACACATGAACTTTTAAATCTCTAATTACCAGCTTTATTTTAAGTCTTACATAATTCAGATTTTAAAAGATATTCTGGAGATGCATTCATAACATGACTCAATTGAAACTGGAAAAAAAGTTCTACAAACCCATGAAATTAAATTTAGAATAATAAATTAGCCTTCCTGTCACTTCCTCCTATGGACTACACCCAGTCTATAATGCAGAGAAAGTCTGCACAACAGAGAAAACATGAAGCACTTTCAGAGGAAAAACTGAAAGAACAAACTCACAACACAAACAAAATCAACAACCTGCAATCAAATAGTTTTGTCTATACTCTAAAAATTGAATAGTCAGTTTTCAGCTAATTATCTCTTGGTCTAGAAATACACTGAAATTCTCTCTGATTACACCAGATGTATTCAGTGACAGCACTTATTTTTACACTATTACCTATTCTCACTGCATCTGATGTGCATCTGAAGCTAAATGCAAAGCTGAAGCACTCCAAGAAATATCAGAAATCACTCACCAAGACACCTCACAGTGGGACCAAACTGCTTTGTTTAATTCAAGTCCAGCTGTTATATATCCACAAAGCACACTAACGTACTTTTAAAAGGATGTTAAACCCATTCTGCTTGCAAACAGAATTACAACAAAGAACACAGACTTCAATGGAAACATCTGACTTGCTCTAATGCTCCACATATAATTGCATTTGAACAAACTCCATTTTTTTAAGTGGCATTTCACTGAAGTTGTACCTTTCATGTTGTGCATACACATGTGCTGTACACACCAGGTACATCACGTTGTGCAGTCACATGCACCATATGGTCAATTACTGCCTTTCATCCTGCAAGGCCATTCTGTACTAACAAAGTTATCCCAAGTCAAGGATCACATACAATTTTAATCTCATTTAAGTGCTATACAACAAAAGCTTTACCACAAGTTTGTTCTAAAAACTGTGTTTTAAGACAAAGTCTATTTTGAATGCCAATAAAGACCAGATTTTATCTCAGCTTCTGTTCCTACCAGATTCTCATGTGGGGTTTGTGCTTTTTTCTCATAACCAAAACAATTTAGTGCCTAAATACAAACTTTGTTTCTTAATTGAAAAGCACATAAATCTTCCTGCTGTTTTATACTTTTACAAAGCAAAACCAACTTTTATCTCAACTTCCAGAAACAGAGATAATAAAATATTACTTTGGTAATTTTGGAACAAAAAATATATAATGAAAATCACATTTTCCTTGACTGATTTCAAATAATAAGAGATTAAGACTTTGGGTCTTTGTTAGTAACTAACATCATACAAGCTGGTTGTAACACTAAGAACTCTAAAGGTAAAGAGTGTATGAGTAAATCTTCATTTAGGCAATTACCTGCTTTGCATAGGAATTCAGACTGTAAACACAGTCACTACTTGAAGCAGATTATAAGCTAAGATTTGCATCTGATATTTAACAAAATATATAAGTCACTGTATGTCTGACTGGCAAGGTGGCAAAAGACAACATTAAAAATGAAGTCATTACATCACAAACTTTAAAGCATAATTTTGAGAACAAGAAACTAAAATTCAGGTCACAAGCAAAGCTCTACCAATAAAACAGCTTAGCTTCCCTCTCACAATGATACAGGAATGCTGAAACACACAGTTACCATCCAGTATTCACACCCAATATTTCCAATTTCATGCTTTTTAATTACCCTCTCAAGTGATTTGAATGCACAGCACACTTATTTTAAGACTTCTGTTCTACTATAGTACATTAAGAGTAAATTAACAAGTTATTTAAACACACTTGAGTATTTCCTAAGTTTCTGAATGGCAGTAGCATTGATGGAGGCTTACCAGCACTGACATTCCTGGGCAGAACAGGCAGAGGGTCAGAGTCCTGCTCGGGTTTGATGAGAATGGAGACGGCAGACGAGGCAGTGATCTCCCGCAGGAGGCTGCTGACGCCCTGAGTGGACTCCTTCAATAAGGAGGTCACATTTTGTGTGGATTCCTTCAACAAATCTGACACAGTGGGTGTGCATTTGCTCTGCCCATTTAAATCCTTATTATCAATGTTGATAGCAAAAAGAATGGAGTTCAGACCTTCAGAAAAAAGGAGAAAAAGAGACCAGAAATGCACCATATACTTCACATGCAGGTTATGAACACAGAAGCTAAGGATTAATGAAATTGTGACATGGAAAACATTTTTCCAAAAAATTTCCCACAGTTCCCAATGCATGAATTCTTATTCTTTCATGTACCATTCATTCCTTTCTAGATTATTTTCAAGCAATCAGTTCTGAATTCTTCTTGATGGCTGTTCAGCTGCACATTAAATAATCAAAAAGTACTGAGAACTCATATATTTATAACCTTTTATTTAAACCCATTTCACTGCAACTTTACTATTTGTGGGTTCCTATATTCTATTAGCAAAAATGCACAAGAACCATGCTTGCAGAATGAAGCATGTGACCATGTATCTGAAAAAAGGGGTATAAAAGGTAATAATACATCACTTCTGTGGATGAACTCTAGAAAAGTAAATTATTTGTTATCATTCCTTACTCTTACTCTCATTATCTGTATTTACCTGCAATTTTGATCTTACTATAAATTCTATCATTACTCTTTTCCAGTCAGGAATAACCCATTTTGCACTGGTTTTAAGTTAGTCTTGACTGCTGAAGAGTTAAAATTTTATGTGGAATTTTTTTTAATTGTAGGAAGACCAGATCCAGGACCCTAATAATCCATCAATTCACAGCATAAATTGGCATAATACCTTGACTGCTCACCCTGACTGTGCCTCTGACACACGTTCTCCACATAAACAGAGTGTATTAGAGAAAATACAGTGTATTAGAGAAATCCTCCCAAGCAGAACAGACACATTATCCCAAAATGCAGTAGTTTTCCAAGAGCAGTTATAGTGAAGAGAAAGCCTTACCAGCTGCCATTGTAGGGATCATGCTAGAACGTTCTTCATCCATCATAAAAGACCAGTCTTCATAGAAGACACTGTAATTTAAAGGAGAAAAAAAAGGACATGCAGTGCTATAGTAATATATACTTCACTTTCAAAAGACAAAAGAACTCTGAAGAGTAAGTAGGAGCACCCCAAAGGATGAAATTTTCTGTCACAGTAACTCCTTGTAGGTTCTGAAATTGATACCTGTTCAGATGGTTCTAAAAAGACATGCTAAAGAGTATTTTTTTCCTTTAGTTTTAGCTCTGCACTTTTTTAGGGGAAAAAAAGCCACTCAAGGTTTGGGGGTTTACACTGCATTAGCAATCACAGCATCTCTCTGCACCTATTGCTATACATGTTTTGTATGAGCTTTGAACACATGAACACAAACAAAACAAAAAATGGTCCTTTTATCTTGAGCAATCTGCTCTGGTGGTAAGGGCCCCTGCCCATGGCAGGAGGGCTGGATTACACAATCTGTGAGGGTCCTTTCTAACCCAGATCCTAATATTCTATGGATCTGTGACCTGTTTCAATGTCCAAACCCACACCAATTACCCTAAATAGTTAGGGTGAGCTATGAATTTGGATGTCAAAAACCACTTTTTTCACTGTGAACACAAATTTAGTTGTGCTAAGCCTGGTTCTTTCTAGTAGCAGAATGCTGGTTTTTTACTATCAACATTCAGTTGATGAAACAACAAAACAGATAGCAAGAAAACCCTCAATCTATATAGTAAACAACTCTGACAGATTCATTTAAAAGTTTCTAAAACATATAACTGGGGATGTAAACTGATTCTGTAAATTCCATTGGAATTCGGGTAACATTTAGGTCTTAAAAATTCTGGAATGAATCCTTTTAGAAGTAGCATTACAATGCAATGTGATAATAATCCTGATACTGTGCAAGTATTGCTACAAGCATGAGAATAATTAGTGATACAGCAATCCAAGTCACTAATTTCCTAATGGTTTTCAGACCTTTTTCTTTATTTCATTTGCCTTTATTTGATTTCTCCAAAATCTGTTTTGCAAGAAAGCTACAGATGACTGGAACAAACTAGAAATGAAAAGGAGATACTAATGAACTCAGTTCAGGCAATAATCTTATCCACTACATCCATTACTCAATGCAAATGAATAAAATGCCTTTCTGCTGAATCCACTGGACTTGATCAAGTGGTTTGAGCAAGCTCAACAGCTATTGATTAAAAGAGGAAAATGCCTCAAGTTTTCATAAAGAAAAGAAGTTGAAGCCATATGAAGAAAAAGGCAGGAGTCAGTTTATGAACTTAAGTGCATTTTGCACTTCCAAAGTACTTTAGGATTTCACAACGTGTAGTGAGTTATTCTCAGTAACTGTAACAAAAGCTTCACAAACTGCTACCTAACCACTTCTGCAGCTGCAGCTCCCCACTGCTGCACTGCTGGAGCCCTGCAATTACAGGATCTCCAAAAGGCAACAGGCAATTACCACTGATGAATTGAGCTCAGACACGGCTGCAATTGTGTACTAACTATTTTAGTGGAATGAGAGAGGCACCTAAAGTGTGGTCTCTAGGTTGCAGTGAGGAAAATTGCTGAAAGAACAGGGAAGGGATTTAGGGAAGAGCTCACATGTTGATATAGGCACAAGTTACTACTTAATGGCTGACAAAAATTAAAAAAAAAAATGTTAAATTTTAAAAGTGACTTGACAGGCATAGCAATGAATATGGGGTACTTCTACAGCCACATTTGGTTGGTTGCCTGGGGTTTCAGCCATTGTCAGCACATTTCCTGCACTGCAAAGGTGTCAGATCCAGTACCTGAGGCGACTCTTATCTGCCAGCAGCATGTGCACGTATCTCTCCAGGGAATGCTCATTCAAAGCACAGCGCAGCCAAGCCCGGCCTCTGCCGATGTCGGTGGTGATGGCCCTCAGAGAGTAGAAGCGCTGCAGCTCGTGTCTGTTCAGCACCTCTTTCACATAATACCAGAACACTGGCTCTGGAATCAGGGATTAATAACAACAATAATGACAACCACCCTACTAAGGAAACCACTAAGCTCATACCTGAATACACTTACATGTAAATTTATAAAACAAACAGGTAACAATATAACTTTGAACAAAGGTGAATCATTTACTCTCCTCGTGCAACCCACCAGTTAAATAAGTTATTTATTCCTACAGAACTCGGGCTATTTAAGCACTTAAAACTTTTCACTTCATTGAAAAAGCCACACAAATTAAAGAATTTGACCTGACACTTTTACACAGAATTCACATTTAAAAGCACATTTAAGACAGTATTTTATCCACAGGTTCATATGTTCAACAAGAAACATATTATGGAAGGGAAAAGATTTCTTTAGAACTCTATGTTACTGCTGACATGAAATGTTGGGAGGCAGGTCCAAAGGAACTGGTAGCTCCAGAATTTGCAGACATGCAAATAAGAAATTCATATTACTTTAGAAAACAGAAGTGTTGCATTCTAATATCTTTTTCCACTAAACACTTTCTGTGCGCTTTTCCCGAATATTGATAAAAACTGATCAGTTTTTAGATCAGATAGTTCTGATTAAAGAAAAGAGAAACATCATGGTGAAGAGAAAAATAAAGGAATCTTTTTTTGAATGTGGACAAAGTAATAAAAACCAACCCAACCAATACAAGCAATATAATTTTTCGTTCTAAAATTACATCAATAACTAGAAGTTAAACATACCTGACCTATATAGAATACAGCATTTAAAGAACTGAGTAAGACAATGTCAAGAATGAAAACATTGTTTTAAAAACTTAACACCAAAATTACACAACCCCGATCCCTGCCAGAATTCAAAAGAAATTTGCCACTATACATGATGCAACTGTAGGAAGTGCAGATTTCCTAACAGCAACATTTCTAGAGAAACTTGGAAAGCAAGCTAAGCTAGACTAAGAAGCAACAGTCATTTCCACTGCTACTTCTACAACACATCAAGTGTAAAGTATCCTACCAACAATCCTACCAACAATTGCAGTTTGGTGCAATGCTTCCCACTTCTTTTAGAAATGATATCACTTGACTGAACATAAGAACTAATTAAAACAAGATAGCTGCAATTAGCAACTTACCTGTTTCAGTTTTGCTGGAGAAACCTGCTGCCTGTTTGATTGCTGCTGCTGTCAGTGCCAATCCCCGGCTCCTCCTCAGGCCATGCTGGAACACAGCTTCAAACTGAGCACACAAACAGGTCACTCTGCAAGAGAATTTTTAATGAACTCATGAAAAAATCATAGTGAAAATCAACTATGTCTCTATACAGCAACTTTATTGCAGATGTCTGAATAGGAAATGTAAAGTGAACCGTTATCTTATAAGCAGTAAAAGATCCCTCCTATGCAGTAATCTCATTATTTGCCAGCAGTGTAAGCTACTTATACCCACAGTCTCATCATAATGATTGAAAGCTGAGGCTGGGGTTACATTCAAAAGAATTGGCAATCAATTGGAGAAATCACCCTCACCTGCTGGAGGGGCTGTTAATCATGTTATTCAGCTTCAGATCACCTACCTTTTATGCAATGTAATTTTTTGAGCATGTCAAATATTTTATGCCATATGTTTTATGTCATTATGATGCAAAATCTAGGCATGTAATTCTTAGACTATTTTACCTGCTATCTGAGTCTGAAGCAATTTCTTTTCTTCCTCCAAATCGTATTTGACACTGCAATAAACAGATTTTAAGAGATTTTAAGAACTTCTAGTTACACTAAATAAATTCAGTTTTCTCAACTATTTCTACATATGAAACAAAGTCATACCAAAAAAAGGAAGCAGCACAAAATAGAGCATTGCAAAATACAGCCTGCATCCAAAAAGTGCTCTAGAGCATCGTGCTACACTAATGGGCTGGCCTTGCAGTTCAAATAGATCCTTGCTAGCCAGAGCAACACACCTGCAGCTCCTTCAGTAAACTGAAAACTGAGTGGAAATTGCCACTTTTGAGTTTTAAATGGGCACCCACAAAACCAAACGTTGCTCCTACCCAGCTCAGCGCTACAACTACAGAACCACTCTTTAAAAAGCTTTTCACTGGCTTACTTGTGAGGAACACTTTTGCCTCTCAAGCTCTTCCAAATTGACTCCAGTCTATGAAATTCTACTTGCTGAACTTCACAATGACACAAATATAGACATATATATAAAAATCACAACTTTATATGTATTTTAACCATTCACTAAAAATCTAGGGCAAAGAAAACAAGCTGCTACTCTAAAATGTTAACTAAGTTAGACTTTGCAGTACATGCAATTTAGTTCAGTCATATCAGGATTACAAGAACATATACTTCTAACATATACTGTATAGTATTACATGTATTTAAAATACATCTATTACAAATATAACCTGTCCAGAACAAAAATTTTAAATAAATACTGCACAGTTCTTTGCTAGCAGACAAAAACTCAGTTGTGCTATGAAAGCCACAATTTCTTCTTTGTATCCTTTTCTTCCTTTTCCTTCTCTTTGTTAAAGGGAAAGCAAAGACAGTCCCTGCTAGCAGTGACATCTCTGAGTAAGCCAGAGCAGAAATGTCTGTTGGACTTCTCACCTGTTTAACTGCATCCAGCAGCCGTTCCAGAAGAAATTGTCTTTTGGTGTCGTTGGTCTGTGAACCTGAAATCCAACAAGATCAAATCATTTTAAAAGAAACTGGTTTTTAAAATACATTTGGGGCAACACAAATGTCTTTCTTTTGGACCCTGAAAGCTTGCTTCCCATGCCAATTATTCCACTAAATTAACTAATGTATTTTCTCTAAGTAAAATGATGCAGTATAAACTATGCTTTGAGGGTTCAAGTAGTCTTTCTCTAACAGGCAGCAACATTGTTTCAAATATCATCTTGATTCTTATTTTAGTAACATTTTGAAGATACATTTCACCAGTACCAAATACAGAATAATTATTCAAGCTGATGCAGAGCTTGCCCTGAGCTTCTTAGCACAACAACCAGTGTAATACAGCATCACACACTAGAAAAGAATGGAAAACAAGAGTGAGACACCAGGAGTATCTTCTTACTGTCAAACCTTACTGCAGAAAGAGCTTTAAGTCAGATGAACAGAGAGTAACTGTTACAGTAAATCCCTTAAAATTTAACTACCAGCATAATTCTGATTAACACCTATAAAATCTATTTTGTTACTATATAAGGAACTATGCAAGACAATCTTTAACTTCTCAAACTATTTCAACAATAACAGAATACTTTGCTTTTCGGAATATCCTTTATAAACTGCCATGAATATGGTAAAATTTATTCTTTGAGATAACTGACATTGCCTCTGTAATTTCTTTATTCTCAGTTCAAGTTCAAAGCATCCATCAGAAACCTCTGTGAGCTCTCTTGGGTTTAAGTCATTCAATTCTCCTTTCTCTCTCAAAGAACATACAGCTAATGTACATATGGACTGAAAGCCAATTATCCAAACTCTGCAGGAGCAAATTCCTCCCAACACTGAAAATCAAACAGCACACACTAGCAAAGAGAGATGACATCAAAGATATGTGCTTCCTCTTGCTATCCAGCAGTGTGAGGTCCAAATCCCAGAATTTCCTCTCTTTATAATCCCATTCAAAACAGTTTGCTTTTAAACCAGCAGGACACAACAGAATTTGTTGAAATGATTCTGCCTTTAAATATGTGTACTCATATAAATATACATTATACTGATATAAAGTATTCTATATATTCACATTAATCTAGATTAATAGAATTCCTATTCCATATGGTTTCATATAGTCATTAAACAGAAGAAAACCCCCACAGTGTGCCAGAATAATGAAAACAACAGGAAAAACATGCAAGCATAGCTGCTAAGCAAGCTTCTCAATGCTGGTTTTGCTGACTACAGGGCATTTCCAAGAAGTTGCACTTCTCATTTTGAACTCTGACTCAAAGTGTGCAGACATGTGATGTGTGAGGTCTGGGGCTGTTACTCAAGCACACAAACCATGTTCAGTGCCTGACCAGACTCCAGGCTCAAACCTGCACCAAATGGGTTTTAACTTCCTAGCAGCTATGCCAGTCATGGCCGTGTGAAGATAAGGCTAAATTCATATCATCCCTACCATTCCACCCTGTGCTCCTTCAGAGATTACAATTTATTAAACAATACTCAATGTTCTTACCATGCATGCATTGCTAAATGGAGATGTATACATGCCTGTGTAGCCATTTATAATAAATCACATCACCATAAAATAAGGAAAACAATCTCAACTTTCAGAGCAACCTTCCACATTCAGTAACACTGAATATATACAACTCTGCAGATTTTCTCTGTTGTTTCAAAACTTATTACTCTTAGTCTTACACTACCCACATACCTGCAAGAAGAGGCACAACACAATATTTCTCTTTATATTAATAGCTTGAGACAACATCAGAACAAATGCATGCAATTAATAATTTCATGACCAGAAAAACATCTATCAAATGAAAATATTAGTAGGTGGACCAAGTTTGTCTTCCAAATGCAATACATGTTAGTTTTTAAATTCAGATCTCTTTGGACTCTTTGTGTCTATTTGGTAACAGAAATGGTTTGCAACTAGATTCCAAGCCATGATTAATATAAAAAAATGCATAAATACAAAATACCTACTGATGTTCATTATACTAATAAATGTTCTAAACCACTAAAGCATGTGATACCAAACCTCAACTTTACACAGACTGAGTGCAATGAGTATTTTCTCTTTATTTTACTTGTAAATTTGCACTACTAGCAACCATGACTGCAGGAAATTACAACCAATAATTCCTGAAGCAGTTCAGATCACCCTCACCACCAACAGGGCTATAAGGCCATGCAATGTGTCTGCTGAGGGCTTAGCTGAGGTTTCTCTTCAATGCAAATCCGAAATTCTTTTGCTTAACCGAAATTTTACAGGTATAAGGAAAAGAATATTCACTAAGTCTGTTTTTTAAAAAAAAAAAAACCTGAAAGATTAGGTTGTGTCTCTTTTCATGCTGAGGGTATATTTTTCTTTGTAACAAGCCTAGAAAATATGGTACTATTTAGTGATGGTTTTGTTTCCAGTAGGTGGAAGGTAAAAATACATCTCCACTAACTCTATTGAATATTTAGTTCTTCCACATTTTCATTTTCTAAACTAAGTTTTCAGGAAAAAAAAAAAAGGCATATTTTCAGACAAAAGCACCAATTAAGTGTGATCAACTCCATTGAGTCTAAGAGTGTATTACAAACTGACTAAAATACCCTTCTCCTTATTCAGAACAGCAGTAAAAACTCCAGCAACACACACACAAATACAAAACATAGAATGCATAAAAACAGCATTACTCAGAAAAAGGCTGTATTTAGACTATTGCAATAAAAGAGGAAGTTCAGACGGAACTCTAAAAATAATTGGGAAAACATAAGTATAAGGTTGAAAAGCTCAGAAACTTCAAGAGACTCCTCCCAGCAACATCTACTCAGTCAAAAAGGGTTTAAAATAGGCTCAGGTACTGCACCTGCCTCTGTGACCCTCTTCATTTTCTGCTGTTCAAGGCCATGCTTTCCCATTTTTAAAACAAACTCCTCTCCATGCTCTGACACAAACATCCACACCTACAAACTGGCACCTAAGTAAAGGAAAGCTGGATTTTCATCCAGCTCTTCCCAGGTAAAGCCCTCTTCAGCACCACATGCAGCACAGAAGTAAAATAAATAAATCTCACATTGCTCTTCTATAACTTGCATTTATGTCCTGAATGCAACATTTCAGACTGCAATCCCTTTTGCTTGCACTAATGCAGGTTCTGATGGCACAAGTTTAAAATAAAACAAACACAGACCTAATTTAAATGCTACCTTATACTACATTATTATGATTCTACTGCTTACTCCCCCCACCACGAGTTGTAGTTTTAAGTTTTTTGAAACTTTCATTAAACAAATGACAACACCCCCAATTCTTGACAAGCACATAAACCTTGTATCCTTGTATTATTTGCTTTAAAGTTTAGCCTGCTCAGCACTGTAGAATAAAATATGAGTATGTAATTAGTAAGCAGCATTAGTAATATTAAGGTGAGGCTTACATCAACAGGAATTTACCTCCACATCCACTAGAAATACAGAGTAGCTAAAGAAAATAAACATTAACCATAATTATAGTGACTAAGAAGTTCTTCCATTTATATTTTAGGAACATCTCTGTTAGTTAAAAGGGCTAAAACTGGGCATAGAAGTAAATACAGGCAGTGCTGTTACAGGCACTAAAAGAAGGATATGGTTAAAATTGATGAGAGGTTAACATCAGCCATCTCCCTTATCTGAAACAAGCATGATACTGATATCTCAGATATTTCTCTCTTTTGATCAGTTTGACTAATATTATTCTAGAAAAATACTGTATAGCATTGTGTAACAGTAATGTTTGTCAAAGTGCAACATTAGGGGGTTTTTTGTTACCTTGCTAATTGAAAGTGTTGGAAAACCCCTATAATTCTTGGCAGGGGCTACCACATGAGTGGTTACTATGCAATTGAACCACTGCTGTTAATGTCACCCTAGGCATTTCTCTATTTTAAGTAATGAAATGTTTCTTTTCTCATAAACATGTATCTCTTTGTTGTCTTAAAAAATATTAAAGGTAACAAAAATAACTACACGATGAAGCTTTAGGCCACATGAGGTGTTACCTTGCCTTATGAGTCACAGAATCCAAATAGAGCTCTCAAAGATTAGTCTCCTAGGAAGATTTAGGCTCTAATTTGCATAAATTTGCACAAGGCTATTCCCAGTTTGAATTTGAAGGGCTGAGGTTTTCCATATGAAAATGATGACTCTTACAAATTTTGCAATTAGGATTTAGTCTATATTGTGCCAAGATCTGAAACATTTGAGAAACTTTCTTTTCCCATGCTTTGAGATTTCACTGTTACTTGCATTTTTCACAAGCAGTTTCCCTATTTTAATCTCTTTTTTTTGCCTCATCTCTTCCACAAAAATCTTCTATTTTCTTCCTACCATAAAGGTGAGAACAAAACAGAGAAAAATACAAGTGAAGTGGTTTTAATTTTCAGTTCACTTTCAGAAATGTCTGCTCCCCATAAAACATGTAGCATTTAGTTACTCCAGTTAACTCTCAGTTTTTTTCTTACTGCCTTTGGCAACAAAGATCACCATGTATTAGATCAGGGTGGGAGATCAATGTGTGACCCAGTCCTCAGGTGCAGAGTGTCTGCAACTTCCATTGCTGAAGATGTACAAACAAACCCATCAAAGTTTTTACTGAAGCACCTCCCTTCTCAAAAAGCCCCAAACAAATCCTTGCCGATGTGTTTTAATACGTATTAAATGAATACCACTTATCCTTTACATCAAGAAAAGTCTATTAGAATTTTCATCTCTATCCTAACAAATATCTCCATGCTTGCCCATTCAAGTGGATCTGCTTCCTCCAGTCCTGTAGTTTATGGGTCATAATTCCCATGCAAAGCTTCAAGTATTTCCTTGACAAACACGTCAAAAAGCTCAGGATTTAACACACATTTACCCTCAAGATTCAGCACACCCCCCGCACCACCCCCTCTACCACAGAAATTACCGCATCCAGAGCCATCCTCACCGGGACTCAGACAGGGACACAGCAACAGGGCCCTTTCTCCACAAGCCGTGGTTCTCACCTCTCCCACCGACAGCATGCTCCTGAGCTCATATTTTTCATTTTTTTAAACTCCTATTTTCTCTTGGTCATTTATTTCCTCAGGAGTATTTCCTCTGAGTTTGCAGAGCTGAGGCAACACAGATGCCCGAGCCCAGCATCACTTGTGCTGTGAGCCAGTGTCACGCTCAAGGGCAGGACTTAGGATTTAAAACGGGGTAAAACACCACTTTGGGGAGCCGGAACGAGGAACGGGGTGTGGAGATAAGAGACCCAAGTGTCCCGTGCCTCAGCACGGCACCAGGGAGCACCGGGGGGGAACGAGGGCAGGGCCACTCCCGCCCGGGCCCCCCGGGCGCCTCTGCCCGCGCCAGCCCCCACAGCGCCCGGCGCGCCCGGGCGGAGGGGCCGGCCCGGCCGCACTCACCGCTCATGGTGCCCGCGGGGCTCCGTCCACCGGAGCCGCCGCTCTCCCGCACAGCCACGGCCGGGCCGGCAGCCACCGCCCGCCCCGGAACCCGCCCGGCGCCCCGGAAGGTAAACACGGCCCCGGGAGCGCCGCGGAGCGCGTCCCGGCCCGGGGCTCCTCAGCGCAGCCCCGCGCCCTCAGCGCGTCCCGGCCACGGAGCCGCCCGGCCCCAGGTGGGCAGAGCCGTCCTGAGGGGCAGGAACGCGGCACCGCGAAAGGAACGGTGAGAAAAGCGGAGATAAAGTGTCCTCTGCTGCCGCATGTGCTGTGCAGGGTGGAAGCTCGGAAAGGCTTGTTAAATAAAAACAAAAATACCATAATAACAAATTTCTTAAGTCTCCAGGCCTGTTTGAGAGGTGTTGGCCCTCTGTGGCCAAAACCACACAGAGCACCTAAATTCCAATTCGCTCCAAACCTTGTGTCAGCCTCCTAATGATGCTGTAACTGATCATTCGTGAATTTCATGCAGTGAAATACTTCAATTCGTCATTCATGCAGGAACCTGAAGTAGAATGTTAGCTACAAATAAAAACAATTGTTGTTGTAGTTGTTGCTTCTGTTGTTGCAGTTTTCCAGGAATAAAATTGTGGCTTAATATTAGGAAAGTAACATTAATGCTTGCAAAGCAACGTGACAGAAATATATTCCTAATTTTAGGCCACAGAGTAATCTAGCATGACTAATCACCTATCCTTGTAAATGTAACAAGGGTAAGTAAAAAAATGAATAAAAGAGAAATAAATCTCAGTCTGAAAACATTTGGCTCTGAAAGGAAAGCCTGTACCACCAGGAAATTCATGGGATTGCAGGGACTGCAGTGAAGGCCAGGAGCTGGACTTCAGTGACCCTTGTGGGTTCCTTCTGACTCTGGACATTCTGTGATCTGTGCTCCCCAGCACCACAGCCTCCCTTAGGGTGACCCAGTGACATCTTCTGAACCCAGGGGCCTCCATTCTCTACAGGGTATCCATCTTTAGAACATTCCTATTTCAAGTGCTGAAATTACTCAAGACTGGGGATGTACAGTTGGTCTTCGTTTCTGCCTCTTGGGACAGTCCTTGTGTACCATCAAGTAATTTTTGGCACAAGATCTGAGTCTAACATGAACATACATATTTGCAAACTTGTTTATTTTGTATATATCTGCTGTAAGTAGGTATAATCTCTAAAGGCAGAAAAAGCTGTCCTATGTAAGGACTTTCTGAAATTAAAAATTCCAATAACTAGTGAGTTAAGTGCCTGAGAATAATGTAGAAATACTTGACTAATGAAGTACTATAATTAGAAATAATGACAATGTTAATGCAAGCACAATGGGAGATCTCCAAGGATGATGTACTACCTTCTCCACTGACTGCAAGTATTAAGGTTTACAGCTATACTGGAATAACTAATTTATTATTACTCAGTACAAAAACACTTCCCTCCCAGTCACCCAACACCCAGAACATAGTTGCAATAATCAAAAGATTTGGTGGTAACTAGAACAGTAGCTCGTTCTTCAGTAGCTGGTAATGGAAATGAAGTTTCACAGCCAGTCTGAGGTTTCACCAAGCCACAGTCACTGCAAGTGCATTCTTCCACTGAATACATTAATGTTTCACTTGGAAGTGTGTGTCTAATTTCTTCTGTGTTCACTCTGCTTTCAGTATTAGCCTTGAGAATATTGTTCAGCTCCACAGAGGAGTCTGTAAATATACAGAAGTTAATTTAGTACATACATCATGCTATACTGAACAAAGAGCTGTTAAAGATCCAAATTTCATTATGGTCCAACTATGTTCTAACCTCAGTGAAAATTTTAAGGTATAGTAAAAATTTTAAGATGTAGCTACATATGATAATCTTTTATTCTATGACAATACAACCTTCTACTTCAGAATAAGCATTGAAGTAATTCAACATGTTTTCTAATCAGTTATTATTTATTGTCTGAAAACTCACAAATATAGTATTTGTAAAATGGACAAAACCTTTTTTCACCTTCACAAAATATACCACATATGCTTCTCAGAGACTACAATATTAAATAAAATTATTTAAAGTCTTATAAAATGAAAAGCTAATATTAAATGTGTATCCTCTGCCTGGGACAATTCCTTTTGCATTCAGAGGGTGAAACCCTTATGAAGTTTTTTGCTTTTAAGTTTTCATAAATTATTTCTTAAAGAGCAGCAAGTAAGCCAGGTATGAATATACAACAACACAATCCTCATGGGACCCAGAACCAACAAAGAGAAATTGCTGCTTTTGCAATTCAACATCTGGATATTTATTCCCTAATAACTATGATAATTTCATGGAGAATATTTGAGGAATACCAAACAATCCAACAAAGACCAAACAATCCAACAAAGACAGTCATGAGAATCTGGAATATGTACAATGTTTTTACATGTTAAAATGTACAATGATCTAAAATTATTTGATGAAGAATTTATTCACCTGTGTTTTCCAGTTTTTCTTTTTGTTGCTTTAGGTGCTTCCATTTAAACAAGACCATTAAGGTAAACAGAGTGAATATTAAAATCAACCCTATGCCCAAACAAATCCAAAGGATTTCACTTGAATCGGTACCTTGTGAAACAAAAGAGATGCATGACATTAATCATAAACAATAACTCACATGTCCAACCCATCAAAGCTGAGTACACAATCCAAGATGAAGATGGCCAGCACAGGCACAGATAATGGCAGAATTGTACTTACTCTTCTCACAGGAGTTTTCACAGGAGGGCGGTGGTGCACTGGAGCACCGCAGGTGACAAGGAGTACAAGAGAGCAGCAAATTATCAAAGTATTCATTTTTGGGGCACTGTGCCATCAGGAGCAGTAATTATGGAACTACAAAGCCACAGCAATTGTAAAAGAGTGAGGATCATCTACAGAAGGCTTCTCAGTTCTCAGTTTGAGCAACTCTAAGAACAGCTAGCAGTAATAATGGACTTCCATCATAGCTCCACTACATGGGATCATGTTACAGAAAAAAGGATTTAACTCTGAAGCCCCCAAGGAATTACTGTTCCTTTCCTGACAATTCACAATCTTAGAAAAACTGAGCAGCTGCACCAAGATAGTTTTCAATGTAAATTTTGTCTGAAACAGAAAATGGTTATTTATAGAAGATGTTTCTAGAGCAGGTGCTAAGGACTACAAACTGTAGAGAAGAAAGATCTCCAAGCAGGAGTTCATAATAATTGTTCTTGTCTCTAAAACTGGGCATTTTTTTCATGGTGACTGCTTCTCAATTCTGAATTTGCCTCATTTATCACCTATTAGGGCTTGGTTGGCATTTTTACCTAGTTCATTTTGGGGGTTTTAGCTTTTTTTTTTTGCTTATAACCATATTTCTATGAAAAAATTAATAAGATTACATTCTAATCATGAAGAAGTGCTACATTAATATTTTACAATTTTGATTCAAAACATTATCTGCATTTTTCACTTATTTTTCCATAATACAGAACTATCATTGGGCTAAAACTGGAGTACCCAGCATGGAAAAGTAAGTTTTATAGGATGTCTTCTTCCCAGCCAGGCAGAGGTATACACAGTGAATGTAACATTTCTGAATATGTATTTGGTCTTCTCACAGAAAAAAATAAAAAGCTTTGACTACAGACTGTCACAATGAAAGTAGTTTACACAGCTAACTTGTATCTTGATGTTTTATTCTAATAGAAATGATTTTAAATACAAAGTTAACTAATTTCTAGCAATTAGCAGTGTTAGAAATTACTTAATTTCTAGCAAGTAGCAATAACTGCCTCTATCCAGTATCACTGCCACAGACAGATCAGAATTACAGGCTCTCTTTCTTTATCATATTTAAGCTAATTTCCTTTTTGACTACAGATATATAAAAGGAAAACATTGTATAAGGAGTTATCATTTCAAACCACGTTAATATGAGACTTATTTTCCCACAAAATGCACCATGTGGGAATACACAAACTGTTTTTAGTGGAGCAGTCTAACAGATCTGTGTTCTAGTCTCCAGCAGATGGAAATGCTTATTGTGGCTTCTGCACTTGTTTCTGTGGGCCAGGTGCACAGCTCAAGGCTTTCCATCACAGGCTTTTCCCCCTCTTCAAGATTAGTGGATAAAGAGGAATTGATGAAATCTGATTTAGGTGTGACAGAAGAAAATAAGGGTAGAGACTGGGGGTTATGCTAAAACTTTCTCTATGAAGTCAGTGCTGGTGCTGAAGTCATAAAACTGGTTCTCCCCTTCCTCCATAATCACACTCTGGAGGAAGAAACCTCAGTTATGGCTGCAATATCATCCTTGGTTCTGATGAAGCACCATTTATGCACAGAGTAATTTCAGGTTTTGCTTTTAAGATGCTGTTTAGCCTTTTCAGCCATGGAGAGGACAAGCACATTCTCAACAGTGATCTCAAGATACTCCTGAAAGCACTTCATGATATTCATGATACCACTTCATGGTACCCTGAGGTACAGTAAGTGAATTTCAGGACAGACAAGCTGATCCAATTCTTTAAGCTTTTATCCACTGACTTCTGTGAAAGATGCCAGCCTTTGCTGCACTCCTGGGTTGCTGTTTCAGGGGTGCAACCCCTTACATTTGTCTTTGTTGACTTTGCTCCACGTGTTGCTGTGATGTATCCTACAACTGATATCTACTCGATTTGATATTGGTACTATTCATAAAAACTGTAAAGGGACTTTGCAAGAGAAATGTTGATCTAAAAGCAAGGAAAGAAATAACAAAATGTGCCTGTGTCTGGAGACCACCAAAGATGTGGTTAGATTATATACAGATAAGATGATTAAATGTCTTGGTGTTAGTGAAAGGCATAGTCCTGCTCTTCACTCTGTGTACTCTGAAACGTGAGGAAGGGCTGGAGGGCTCACCTGACCACATGGCAAACAGCTTTAATTCATTAATCCAGTCAGTTCATGGAGGTTTACATCCTAGGCCCTGGAAAAAAGACCAGAAACAAACATAGAAAAAAAAAATATATATAAACAGCTGATCACCTGCTGGCAACATGCAACTAAGTCCACCAGAGAAATCCACATTTGGTGAACTAATGCACCAATGTCTTAATTTGAAAACTCTAAGTAGAGTAGAAATTAATTTATGCCTAATTATTTGAGATTGTATATATAGAATATTAAGATATTGTGGCAGAAATGCTTTCTCTCACAGTTGGCCAGAAAGTTTTCCTATATGGCTGGTTAGAGTTCAAACATATAGTCTCATGTTTTCAGTCAAACTCTAGGAAACTCCCCCCCAAGTGAAAGGCACAGTACAGCTCATTTCATCAGAGCTCTGGAGAATGATGCTGTCTCTTACAGCAATACTTCTCCATCTACAGTTGGACACCACTATTTCCCAAAGCTTGCAGCCTTTAAGGATAAACTAATTTTTTTGACAGATGTGCCCCAAACCACAAATCCTTGCTAATTAAGCAATACATTTTTCACACATTGGAAACTGGGCAGCAATGACAGTAAAGGGTCTCTACTGTGTCATTCCTTTAAGCAGCCACCATTCAGGTCCCAGCCTTTTTCCCTTAGCTGTACACAGTGCCAGTGATGCATGCAATGAAAAAACACAGGCAACAAATGGTTCAAAAAACTATGAGGAATTATGGTTGTCATGGCCTGCTGCCTTTGTTTTCTGCACATCCTAACATTCAGAAGTTCCTCTCCTCAAGGGCATGAAAGCAAGCATGTAATCAATTGATCTTGATAAGCAATAGATCCCACTGACAGATCCCACTACACATCTAAAGCACACATTATTTCAAAATCTATGTCCAGGAGTAAGAAAGACATTTTCTAGCTGAACAGGGTTTTTGTGCAACCTTCAGTTTTGAGTAATTTTGATAGCAAGGGGCTAATATTAAAAAATAAAACCCCAAACAAACAACGCTTAAAGCACTTTTTTGGGAGAAGTGTGCTTTAATATGAGATGCTTTATACCTGAATGGAGAAGCTGTTTATAAAGTAAAATATTGGATTCAGCCAACAAATGAAACAAAAACCAGAAGCATTAAGAATAAATTCATTAAGTGACATTAAGAATATTGTTACTTAGAAACTGTAGTTATGTTATGTTAAGATTTGTTCCATTGCCTTGAATAATACACATTAAATCCTCTGAGCAGAACACCAATTTGTTATATGTAGACTATGCAAACACACCAAAAAATGAGATGATGGTATGGAATGATGGTTCTCCCACAGTGATATTTACCTTTAGGGAATAACAAATATATGCCTCACTTACCAGTAAAGTTACATTTCAGCTCTTGTTCAGTTATAGGATTTACAGAGCTTGCACTGGCTTCCCAAACAATTACACATTGATGCTAATAAATGCTCTCTTCTTTTAATATGACTTTGCTTCAAAAGGATGGCAGAAATTTGCAGAGTTGGACAAAATAAGAAAGGATTTATCAACTACAATAATCATTTAACCATAAATCACAAAGTATTGCCAGGGAAGTATTTCTGCAGTTACATTACTGTAACTGAAATTCAAAAACTCCCCACAATATCCTCTAAGAATGATTCAGACAAGTTAAGTTGGCCTGCTGAGGTTGGCATCCTTACAGAGAGCAATGGGAAAAAATGCAAGAAGAGAAGTATCAACTGCAGAAACAACAGGAAGAAAAAAGAGAAAATGAAAACCAATTCTCAGATTTGTTTCTAAAATGTTTGTTCTGTCTGACTCAGGAGTGACATCTGGGGACAATTTATAAAGACCAGTATAAATTATATTTTCTGATCGTTATTTAGAAGAATGGTTTTAGTACTGACAGTTCTAGTAGAGTATCAAATTGCTGAACAGGATTTCAAGAAATCAAATCATTTTTACTGGTAAAGAGAGTACAGGTGAAGGGAGCCCAGCAGAGCAGGAGCTTTGGAGCTGTACACAGACACACACAAATTCACATTGGAGCTGTACACAGACACACACAAATTCACATTGGAACTGTACACAGACACACACACAAATTCACATTGGAGCTGTACACAGACACACAAATTCACATTGCAGCTGTACACAGACACACACACAAATTCACATTGGAGCTGTACACAGACACACACAAATTCACATTGGAACTGTACACAGACACACACACAAATTCACATTGCAGCTGTACACAGACACACAAATTCACATTGCAGCTGTACACAGACACACACAAATTCACATTGGAGCTGTACACAGACATACACAAATTCACATTGGAGCTGTACACAGACACACACAAATTCACATTGCAGCTGTACACAGACACACACAAATTCACATTGCAGTTGTACACAGACACACACAAATTCACATTGGAGCTGTACACAGACACACACAAATTCACTTTGGAACTGTACACAGACACACACACACAAATTCACATTGGAGCTGTACACAGACACACACAAATTCACATTGCAGCTGTACACAGACACACACAAATTCACTTTGGAACTGTACACAGACACACACACACAAATTCACATTGGAGCTGTACACAGACACACACACAAATTCACATTGCAGTTATACACAGACACACACACAAATTCACATTGGAGCTGTACAGACATGCACAAATTCATATTGGAGCTGTACACAGACACACACAAATGTTTCAGACCTACAGCCTTCTCCCAAGGGAGCAGAACACCTCTAGTTCCATGTTGCTCTGGCAGAAAATGGGCACACCAAGCACTGAACAGAGCATTTCCTGCCATGAACCCAAACTTGACTGTTAGTTTTGTTAAACATCTGGAGAAACTCAAGAGTTCCAGAAATCCTTGTCAGTTCTCATTTGTGACATGTTAAATTGATATTACATTAGAGAAATCAGTCAAGAAAAATTTTATCTTTCACTGTTTAATTTGAGAAAAGCTATTGTGTCTAAGCCAAAATAATAAAATGAGAACTCTGGATGGAAAATCAAAGTAAGTAATATCATCCTGTCAATGATTAAAGATTGAAATTCATCTGTCACAGAACAATAACTTGAGATCTGTTTACCACACATAACTTAAACAACAAAGTTTTGTTCTGGCACTGCTTCAGGGTTTCTCTGTTGAAGCTTGTGCCAACTTTTTTGCCTGACTGTACTTCAGAAATTCTGCTGGCACAATTACATAGCACTTACCAAGAGAAAGAGGGTTTTCTGCTAGGGCTATAACATTCCCTTCACAAACAACATTAGCTAGGCTGACAAAGGAATTCTTCTGGTTGTATAGTTGCTTCTACATTGATGGCTTTGTGCTGGCACAGCTCTTTTTTTCCCACTCACTAAGGCAACTGACCTACACTGTCAAATCTTATACTACAGGCTTGCTCTGATCCTCTCCAATTCTCTAAAGCTATTTACAGAATAAATCCCCCCCAAAAAAAGTCTCTTATAAATCACCTCACCTCAACAATTCTAAAAATCTGTAAGACCAATGTACATACCAAAAACCACCACATTTTCTTCTCAAAAGTTATTGCACTTCAAGGAACAGCAGTATAACAGACAGTATAACAGACAGTCATCTCCTAAAACAGTGTTAAAACTTTCTGAAATGGTTCTTTTCAGAAATCCATCTTTGTGAAGTGCATGCTTTGACTGTATGGCTGGGAGGAGATAAGCTGTTCTAGGAATGGGGTACACACTGCTGGTAAATAAAAGAATGGAGCTATTAAAGGGTTCATCATGTTCATTAACTTTTACAAGCTGCACAGAACAATGCTGCTCTTAGACAAAATATTGTTTAATGTCATTTGCACACAGAGCAAAAACAAGAACAATGTGGATTTTGCCTGTTTGGTTCAGCACATTTTAATTAGACCACAGCTTTGAAAAGAGTGATGTTGCTGGTGCTACATTGAGTATTTCCAAAATGGATTAAAGAGCAAAATAACAGAAGAGAAAATGTTCCTTTAAAATAGTGATTAAAATAACAATAGTATAAACACAGTCAATTAAATCACAGACAGCTTCTGTATCCCCCACTGTGTTCAAAGCTGGCTTAGCTAGGAACCAGCTCATGGAGCAGAGGAAGTGCACAGCCCAGGAAAGCAGTCCTAATAGACTGCAAACCCCTGGGGCAAAGAAGATACCTTTTCATTTTTCTGACATCCCACATGTGCCAGAATAGTTATGTAACCACTAAGGACAATGCATAGAAAAGGAATTGTGCAAGCAAGTTTGGATTAAGCCAATGCTTGTAAGAATGCCAATGACATTTTTGTGTCAGTACAATAGCTTTTACAGAATGTAAATATAATTTATTTCTTAATGTAAACACATTTTGTGTTGCAAAAATAATCTCTTACATGCTACTATTTTAGTGATTTTGCAGGTGGACAAAATAAACTGAAAATCATCAGTGACATAATGCCAACAGGAGTATTGGAGTTACAAAAAAGTAAATGTGCAGGAACAATTATGAATTATGTGAAGTGTTTGGCATACACTAAAGTCTAACATAAAACTTTGTTCTGGTAATTTTAGTCAAATTCTCTAGCTGTTCAGAGGTTTGAATAACACACATTCACTTTTTTCAAATTCTCATGTACAGCATCACAGTGTCAATGTGTGCTCTCTCTCAAGACAGGAGGGAAATTGTAATTGATTCTGCCACCACTACTCCAGAATAATTCCCCATGCAAATTGCTGTCTCTGGAATAAGAATACTGGCACAGAATACTTCTAGAGTAATTAAGCCTATTTAGAAACAAGCTCACTATTTCATTCTCACAATTCCATAATGAAGTAATTATTTTCTGCAACAATGTTACATGTTAACTAGCCATAGAAGAGCAGCTTTAAAAATCCCATGATGCTGTTATTCTTCCTTCATAACAATAATGCCATTCTGCTTTAGTCATTACTGAAACTAAAA